GTTCTTGAAATATTTATAGGCAGGATTAAAACACCATACAAAGTATTGAACATTCAGGATTAGATATTTAGTTTTTAATACACTGGTATTAATTGTTCTGAAGCATAATTTGCACTTGATCTTCATGCAAACTGCATACTGGTGATATTTAACCCTTTAACCCCTAAGAGTGAGTAGCATCTAATTTCTCCATATAATATCAGCCCCGAATCAAACAATAGGGTCATGAGAATAAATGAAATGATCACCAACTAAAGACACTCTACATTGCTAACCAAATTCTCCTTGTCAGCACCTTAAGAAATGGTTAGAGAACAGTATGGAGAATATGCATATTGATGTTAAGGTTTAAAGGGTAAAGGAATTCCTTATGCCAGGTTGAGAAATGTATGACATGTTAGAAAATTTTTATCGTATACTTTCTAGATATGTTTGAATTGTCAAGGTTGAGAATATTTTTGTAGTTTGCATCTGATATCTTTTTTAACAGTGTCAGAAAATGAATTCTCTTAACTGTCACAGTGAAGGTCATTAGTTTTCTGTCAGGGAGAATTTGGTCACTGATCACATTTCTTGGCATTACAGTCATAACTTCTGTTGTCAAAGTTCAAAATAAATCGTCCATTGTGTCTTCTGGAATGCTTGTGTGAATTGAAGGGATTACTCATAATACACTTAGTGAAAATTATTCACTTACCACTCTTCATAAGAAAATCCGAACAATTTACATCACTCAAAAGGTGACACGTTACCTTCGTTTTTTTTTTTAGTTCATTACTGGGAAAGGATAATACAGTGTTGATGCCTCTTAATTTAACAACTAGTTTTGTGTAGCCAGCTCGGATTCCTAAGTAACTGTTGTTCTTACTTTACTGAGACTTTACTATTCTCTAGACCAAGAAAGAGTATTTCTAATTAAATTAGGGTAATTAATGCCTTAATATTGTTCAATGACCAATTTAAAGAGGTTTTCAGGATATGTGTATTTCAATGTGTGATAGTTGTATAAAATTATTGCTATTATTAACATTAAGTTATTCTTTGTTAAATTATCTTGAAATCTTGTTATGTAGAATTTCAGAGGTCATTAAATTTTTGACAGTTGGTGCTTGTTGTTCTCGGAATGTTTGCTGATTACAGAATAACATTCCTTTGTTATCCTTTTTTGTGTTTTTGTTCTTTGAATCCAGGCCTGCACTTGAGGGTTGTGATTAAGAGCCTAACTTTTTGATTCCCAACATCTGATTTATTTTGTTTTGGCAGCCATAAGTTTGTGTGTCAATTGGTTGAAAGAATCTGTTTCTATGTTAACAGAATACCCCATAGTTGATTAGTTTAGTCATATCATAACTGACGTGTTGTACAATGTGTGCTAATATATGTGAATCACCTCTGAGAAATGAATGGTTGAAACTCCTTAAATACGTTTCTAAAAAAGGGTAGCATAGGGGGTTTCTGATCCCTTTCACGCACAAAGTCTAGGCAAAAGCAGGCTCAGCTAGCCCTCAAAAAGAGATTTCAAGTAGTCACAGGATCAAAAGCAGCTTTTTTGAGCTAACATGATGAAGCGCTGCCTTCAAAAGGCACCCGACCAAGAAAGCGGATCCTTTTCTGAACCGATTTTTGGATTTTGGAGATCTATGTTTTTCACTGTAATTGGCATTTCGAAGTTACCGTTACTGCAAAGTTTACCGGGGCGCTCTTCCAAGTAATAGGGAAAATACGGCGCACTTGTATTAAGTGTTGACGTCATAGCGAATTTGGACCTGCTAGATGGGAGGGGAGGGAGAAGGATTTTTTATGTCTTTTGGATACTTTCAAAAGTTTGTGTGGTCTTATGGTGCATCTGAACTTTAAACCGGAATTTTTCAAGCACACAAATAGATTGAAGTATTAACTCTTCTCACATTATATATACTTTATTTATTTTTAGAGGCGTTGTCATAATTTCCAATTATTGGAAGCAGTTGACAAGAATGTTGTCAGCAAGAAGGGAGAAATGCGAAGAAGATCTTGAGAGTTACTGAAAGGGTGTCTGTCAGTCACTGTTTGAATTACTTATCCTTCATGGGAGGCCAAAAAATCCCAGATTCCTTCTCCCACTGTCTGTGGTTTTAAACACGTACGACCGTGACTCAAGCGAACGCGTCAGCTACAGAAATAGCGCAATTTCCAGAGTAAATCCCTGACTAGGAACTCAAGATACTCATGTACATGCGTGTGTATTAAGGATCGTCCCTGAGATCGTTCTATCTGCACACCCCATGTACCTATACCCCACCCCCTTTGACCAGCTCCCAAGGCGAATACCTCTTGACGCCATCCAAAATACTTTCATTATTACAAAAAAGTACCGTTCCCTTTTGAGTCGAGTCTTCGTCGACAAAGTGGGTGGTTGTTTGAACTGTGAATGACTTGCATAAAGATTTGGCATTACGATGGATTACGTCACGTCTACATCTGCGCCTTTAGGTCCCAATGAAATATTAACCCAGTGAATGCCAATGAAACTACGTATTAAATGCGGACTTATTATTCAGCCAGTGGTTGTGTTTGAAATAAAAGGGGCGCTATTAGCCAACCGTATTTCGCAAGCGAGGAACTTTTAGGTATTTCGTTGTTGTCCGGCAAATAACACCGAACTGAAGACCTTTGATTCTGTTTTCATCTCGTATAGGAGTGATAAATGCATCTCCTCTAGCGTCGCACCAGTTAATTCCCACCCCCCTGTTGTTTGTTTGGCTTGGGAAAAAGCTCGTAACTTTTACCTCCCTCGTCGCCAGTATTGTGAAATAAGAGCGCCAACCATTCTACCTTGCCAACTACAAAGTTACTGGAAACAAAACCTTCGAGCCTTTTGGCTGGGAAATATTTCAGAAATGATGAAACGATTAATCTTCACAAAATTAGCACATTTTACACACCTTTTGACGAGTTGATAATGGAACATTGTGAACGTGTCCAACGCGTAATCAGAAGCAAGGATGTGTTTTCAATTTCAGTCATGGTCATTGAGGACCAGATCCCTTCACTTTCCTATCACTTCAAAAAACTGAAGAAGTCACAATCTGATTGCATGAGCCTGAAATTAACAGCATCCATAGATGTTCACATTAATTTTGTTTAAAAGCTTCTTGTTTCACCCAAAATTTGCCTTTGAAATTCTGGAGAAGCAACAGAAAGCTACATTGAAGAGCACGTGAAGTTTGAAATTCGTCGGCGTTTTGCCGGGTAACAAAAAAAACAAAACAAAACAAAAACAGCTAGTCGGCATCTTCTGTATCCCACGGAGTTGCGGATTTGGCTGTTTGGAATTCGCACGTATCTGTTAAATTTTTGGAAAATAACTCTTTGCCATTTTTATCCCCTCGTGTTTGTTAGTGTGACTTAATTTTCCGATCGTTTACAGAGTGAGCATTTATCCGAGTGGAATGATTGCTTTTACAGCCCTCGACATGTTTATAAAACCTTAAAGGCTCGTTAGAAATGTGTGAAACACGTTAAGGTATGCCCCGCCTACTATGTGGAATAAATCAGTAACCATTCCCTCACGCAACCTACGATTGAAATAAAGAAGTAAGAAAAGGGAAATAAAAGGGACATTGCGTGCGTTCAAGTAATGTTCATGATGCTATTTGGAACAGCACGCCAGATACATCATTTTCCGTTTTGTGTTACTCTACGGATTTCCAGCTTGATAACCTTTCGATATGAAAGGAAATATAGATGATGTGGTTTCCTCTTCAATGTACTGTAATTGTTGCGGTTTTTTTACAGTCACCAAGCGTTTGGAAAAGAGTACAAAGCTGCCTTGCAGATCGCGGGGCTGTCTGTAGCCGAGATGGCAATCTGTCGACCCCCTGGAAAATCGGAGATAACTAAATTAGTTTGTATTGCTTGCCGCTGATAAATCAAGCGTCGACTCATGATTGCCACCCACCTATGAATGACATAGACTGTTCTCAGGAAGTGAGCTCATAGCCCAAAACTAACCAAAAGAGACCGAGCCGAGATTAACTCTCAACTTAATTCTTTTGTTTTAATTAATGACAGATTTAAAAATTTTTAATACCCAAGAAAACTCCCTTGTTCGAGTTCCAATGAAGCGCAACACAGAAAGCTAGTTGTATGAGCTCGTGTCTGATGAAATAGCGTTACTTTGTCACGCAATCTAGTATCCGGATTTTTCGATGTTTCATTTCATGTGATGATCTTGTCTCAATTACATTAATTTTTTCCTTTTTTTCGGTTAGGAAAGTGATACTTTAATGATTTTATGCCCACAAGAGTTCGCAAACATCCGATCATAAACAAACAATTTATACGCCTCCTGAAGGAAAAGCTTTCTGCTCAGTTCTCTTTTTTCTCAAAACAGGAATGATTGATAATACTCAGCCGACGAGGCCACCAAGAAACCACTGAGACAAATCGCATTTTGTTTGGCACGTGGGATGAGATCCGTAATCTTTGTCTAGGGATTCCGCTTTCCCCTGCGACCCCAAAATGGAAGATTATCCTATGCCGAACACCAACGTTACACTGCAGACAGACAATACTGGAGAAAATATTCTGCAGACGAGATAACTATCAGATATACATACCATTAGACAGTAAAAATCAAGTGGTGTATAAACGATGGAATAACATGCCCGTAACAGGTCGAGACATCCATAACTGCACGCCGAATTAGCTAGCCACGCGTACCATTTGAACTCTAACAGACAAATGCGTCAGAACTGTGGTATTCTTGGAAAACCGGAAATATGTAAGGACCTTGGAATGCGAAGTATACTTCCTCAATTCGTTATATAGTTATTTTCCCACGCTCTCGGACAAAGAGGATAACATTGCTCATATGCGCTCGACCAAAAAATTTGACCTCCATTTGTATTGCTGTCACCTATTGCTAAATATCTTCACGTTAACCACAAAGGATCGCATGATAACACAAGGCTAAAAGTTTTGAATAGAAACTAAAATATTATGAAATAGAAATCAGGTAAACAAATAACAAAGCAGTTTACTTGTCTGCTTCACAAAATTTGTTCGACAAAATGCTAAAATCGTACTCACTGTTCCAAAAATATGCAAGATCAGAATAAAATCACCCTCTTGACAAATGTTGATGCGGCATTTACAGATACAGAATGCCTCAACTGTGGTAGCGGTGTTCTGTTACAGTATTATCATAAAATAAACCTAAGTATAGACGCGGTTCCTGTAAGAGAGGAAGTGTAATCGACTTTTCGAATAAAGAAATCTAATTACAAACTCAAGTCGGTATGACTTCAACCAAGCGCACAAAGGAATATTTACGAGAAAACGACAATTAGTCATTCACTACCTCAAAAATGACGCTAACAACGTACCTGGAACTTACGCAAGTTTACAAAGCAGGTTTTAAGTCAATCCTGAACATTTGATATTTAATAACTGTTGGCTGGCAAAGCAAAGTTTACCGAACTAGTTCCTTAAACGATCGACACCTCAACTCTCTCTACATCACAGTATAATAATACAACCAAAGAAATTTACGTAATAAAATCACACCTCAACCATTTAAACAAGACATCTAAGCCCTAATGGTGAGAAATGTTCATTGCAAAAGGGTTTTTTCTACTCATAAACACTATTGTAGATACCCTATGTAAACGCTACAACTAAATCATACGATACTTTCGACAGAGTTTTCTACTCTCCAAATTTCACCAAAGCCGAAAGCGGCTAACCAGTGTTTTACACAGTAAAAATGGGTATCGAGAATTTTGTTTGAAAATGCTAAACTTAGCTAACATTCTTTTTGTAACCCTGATCAAGCAAAACTTATGTCCCAAAGGACCTTGAAACGAAATCCAAGCTGATCATGACGTTAATTTATGGAAATCTATCGGATTTTTTTCCCGCGTTTACGCAATATATATGCAAATATATATCCATTCATTCAAAAATACTGCATCAAAAATAGTATTTTAAGACCGCAAAACTATGATCGCTTAGAAAACTGTTACTTTAGGGGAGGAATATTTCCTCTTTCCCTGATGATTTGATAATCAGACGAAATTCGGCATTGAGACAACGAAAATATTTGGCACCTTCTATGCGAAAGATTTGTTTCTACACGATAGAAAACCTACAGGTATAAAATTCGATCGGAAGCTAACTGAAATTTCTACACAGCGAGTATACTTGCAAAAACATTTTCCTTTCATATTAATATATATCTATAACTTATATACAATCTTTTTCTACGTAATGATATTTGGTAAAAGACGAATGAAAATAGCGATGAGTAAACAAAAAGTTATTTTCGTTTCTGCCCAAGAGCATAGAACCGGTCCAAAAGATCCTCGTTTTTCCGTCGTTCTTTCGCAAGTTCTGCCTGCAATCGCATTTCGTCCTTTTTTAGTTTATCGACATAGTCTTTTGCTTTCCTCAAGATCGTAACTTTTGGAGCTCTTTCATTGTCTTTTATATCAGGAACCTCTTCCCTGAGAATGTGAAAGCTTGTCTTGAGATCATTCCTTCGCTTCCGCTCGAGAACATTGTGGGTTGCTCTCTTACTGAGATCACCTTCTTCGTCCGAGGTTGAACTGTTCTGCCGTTTAAAATCTTTTTTATTCTCTTTGGAAGGGCTTGAAGCAGGGACTACCGCTTTAGGTTTCATCGCAACAGGTTTAATGCGTTTTGCCGGCGGTTCATCTGTAACTTGTGGAAGCCGCTTTCGCTTTGGTTTCTCGATGGTCACTACGTCTATTTCCTCTTCTGTTGCCACACAGAAAAAAATTAAAAATTAGCTTCGATTAGCAGAAGGCTAAGACATTTGGATTTCGACTGTGTACGATCTGCTCTACTATACAACAAATCGTCAATTATGATTACCAATTACCAGAACAGGAAATTGAAAGCACATTGTGAATAAGACAACTAACCTGAATCGCTCGAATTGTGGGATCCACACAAGTTTTGATGTGATTCGTTTATAGGATAGGGAAATACCGTTGAAGGATCAACACAATCAGAGCTTACATATTCCACTGGCGGAGGAGTAGCACACGGAGTCTCGAAAGGAAGGTCGTCCGTATTCAAAGAAGCGGCGAGGACTTTAACATCTAACGCACTCTCATAGTTGGAGCCGTTCCACATGCAGTCCTGAATGAGTTTGGACTTCAGACTATTAAGAGAAATTTCAACGGTCGCCGAGGGTGCAGGTGAACAACTGTCCTCGTCTAAAATATCTGACACTATCTGCAGAGTGTCAGCAACCGAGCAGTAATCATCTTCGTATGAATGAAAACTGACTGGCGTATGTGGAGGTGATCGAGACGGAGAACGAGGTGGTGTCGGTAGTAGTTCAAACTTTTTCCAAATGTCATGAGATGGGACAGGAGAGCTGTAGCCTTCATTTCCATGCTCATCTTTTTCTGAATGAATCAGAAAGTACGACGCATCCGGGTCGTTTTCCAGTGCAAAAGATTTGCACAAGGACTCGACTTGTACAGCCATTCTACAACGAAAGGATCAAAACGGAAATGAGTTCACATTTGAATCACTACGACCACTTCAACAAATGATTAACGACCGAATGTATAAATAATATCTCGTCCAAAAGTGCGCTGACAGCGCAATGTAACCAAATCAAAGTCTCAGGTCGTTAAAAGTAGGAGCTTAAGTCAGCCGATTTCTACTTATTTTCTAATGAGGGAGCCATTTAAATCTACTTTAAAGATCGTCTAATGAATGAATGAACTTGGTACAGAAGACGCACGGCTCCAAATTACGAACACTCAATCGAAAGTTTGTTGGACCACTTTACCTCATGAAATTCTGGGAGACTGCAGTTGTGCAGTTCAAGTGCCTGGAGGATTCCTCTCAAGGTATTCCAACGGCCACTAGTCCGAATTTCTGCGGCTGTGAAAAAGGACGGGGCGTACGCGGAAAGCAAATTTCAATTCTCCTGCGTTCTTTGAAGAATATTTTATCAACAACCAGAACCAATCAGAAAGTGTGACTAATTAACGTTGCCATAACAACGTCATGAACTCCACGTGACTATTCCTCAAGAAGAGAGTTTTACATGCGTAAAATTTCTCTCCAGAATCACTCATTTAAACCGAAAGTATTTGTTCCGCCTTGTGCATTACCGAGCCTGATTTACTGGTATCAAGATAACAGGTTTGGTAAGTGCAGCCAATCTCAATATCAGAGGCCAAAAATATGTCTTGTTTATGTTTTTAACGGGCTTTCAAAAATTCCCCAGAGCCCGTGTACTTTAAACAAAAGCATAGCACTTTCAGAATAATGATACTGATGCTTGCAATTTTTTAAGAACTATTGTCGAGTTAAGTCAGAAAGATATTTCCTAATATTTGCTGATGATTCCTGATAAAACCACTTTGGTTTCAATAAAAATAAATGAGAGGATAGGTAGTTCGTGACGCAATCGCATGCAACCCCTGAGCCGTTTTAATTTAAGATTCTTGTGAAAAAACCAGTGTATGAATAAGAACCCAAAGCACACCTGTCGAGACGGCAAGGTTTTATTTAAGTTTTTGAGTTTGAGGATTAAAATATTGTTATCCAAAGAATAGGCTATTTTTTATCATCAACCAGCCGGAAACAACAGTGATTGCACTCAACGATAAGCACTCCTTGGTCAGCTAAAATTAACCAATTCCTTTGGTCTTGATGCATTTTATTCTTGGGGGTAGCGTTTACATGTTGATTTTATTTACTATTTGGTTTAAACAGAATGTTTGTCATTCCAAATTCACTAATTCGATCAATTTATTATGGGGTTCGAACTTAACGATGCATTGGAGCGATACATTAATTACAAGATTTAGCGAATAATCAACAATAGGTGCAAAAGGGATTTACTGCATAACCCTTCCCGCATTACATTACAAGGACCTGGGCAATTTAGCGATGCAATTATCAACTCTCTAACAATATTTACTTGTGAGATTTCGCTGCCTTAGTATTCGAGTATCACCGGAACTACCACCCAAGGACTTTTTTCCCCGCGAAAGGAGTTTGATTGATTGACAAGGTCGTCAGTTCAACTTTGACAATAATAATTTACTCTTGGTGATTCATAGGAAGAAAGCAAGGGGTGACATAGGTCATTTAAGTGATATTCACAAGCTACTAAACATGCAAGTTAGGGAAATTGTGCTAGACGCAAGATGCATGAAGGCATCCAGAATTTGAGAGTTTGAAAATTTATCAAGTACTATTGCGCAATAACTAAGGGTCAACCTTTTGATTGTTAGCGCGTAATGTGAGACCTGTTAGAGGTTTGTTATTCAAAAATGCTTATTTTTCCTAAAACTTGAGACTGCGTTTGACCACCCACGGACCTGTGGGGCGAGATGATAAGCTCTTGTTTTTATTTACACTTCAATCAATGCTGAGTAAAGGGCAAAAAACCGCGATTAATAGGAACTTTCCTGTTCATTCTATTAACAAACTGTTTAGTTCAAAAAATACTTGTTTGCACTCAACGGCTTAAAGTATTCAGTTAATTGGTCCCTTAGGTTCTTGCGAAATACGGAAAAAAATATTACTCAAGAGGATAAATCAGGTTCAATGTACAGAGTGTCAGGATTAGATTTTCAAGTCGTAAGATTTGACATTGGCCGCTCAGTTGCAGATCAAATAGATCAAATGAAAGTACTTTGAAGACTACTATGTACTTGATGAATCGCCAGTTGTAACAAGTAAGTACAGCGTGCTAAATAGAAGACGGTTCTAAGACGGTTTGTTCAGTATTATGACTATAGGTCTCGCTTACAAATGTGATATTGTTGTGGTCTAAATACACGTAAAAAGGCTATTGTTGATTCACGCTGCGTCAGTTTAGAAGAAAACCTCTCTCGAAAACACTTAAAACTCAAAAATTCTTGACAAATGAAGAAACTACCCTCCTTGGAAGCCTGTTGTGATAGACTGAGCCCTTATTTCGGACTACAATGAATTCGTGACAACTTAGTCGATGTTGTTTGAAATCACGTAGCTCTTTTTCATAGTATGTGACCTCATTTAGCTCTGGAATGTAAACTATTAAGTATTTTGCAATGAAACAAAATTAAACGCGATTTGATTAATCTATCACCGGTCAAAGTATTATTTTCGTGTACCTTCTTCATCAGAAACCAGCCACGCCGAGAGAGGAAGGAGCTACTACCCACAGGAAATGCAGTCAGAGCGCTGCAAGAACATTTGGTCAAGTGAAAGTTGGTTAACTTAATTTTTAAAAGCTTGTAACAATTTATAAATACTTAAATCGCACATTTGCTGACCGCAAACAAATAAAATCACAATGGAATATTCGCTAAGCTAAAATAATAAAAAGTTCGGTTGGTGAAAGCTTCCGACAGGATAAACAGCTTGACAATATTATCGCAAAAGATCAGAAATCGTTTTGTTAGTCCGCAGTAAAAAAATTCTTTCGTTTCCTTCAGCAGTCACGTATACGAAAAAAACAAGTCTCAATTATGTTGCTCTTTAGTCTGTTCGCTCATTTTTCACTTCAGTGATCCGACTGAACGCATCACAAAGATAACATTTTAGTCCCCCCTTAGTTCCACTTGACACGATATGATCGATCAAAAGTCACTGTCTGTGATATTTCAACAGTTCTCTGCTCTTTCTCTGTGATTTCGGATGTTTCCAGTGCATATTTAGTTTGCGTGCATACAGGGGAAATCATTTAGGAGCTCGGCATCTTTCTTATCAAAACTTGACCTCTGCTGTCATGCCGAGCACTTGAAAGCAATGTACTCATATATTTATAAATACCCTCACTTGATACTACGCGAGAAGCATTTTCCCCCGACCAATCAACACTAATTGGGAACATAACTGGTGGTATCTTGTGTTATGTCGATGATATTTTTCGGCGTTCCGGTGAATCTGAGTGTATTTTGGCTTTGCATGCGTGCCAAGTAGACTTCGAACCGATACCCCCCAGGGAAATATTGAGATGGGGACTGAATTGACGCAGGATCTTTTGTGAAACTGGACTTGTGTTGCATCCGCTCTCATTGACAGGTGGTTCCACGTGGGCAACTTTCCCGCCGTCTGCGAATGCTTGGCCTTGCATGACATTTCTAGAAAGCCGAATTCAACTAATCACTTGAACACAAGTACTTGGTTTGGACATATTGGCGTCAATCTTTAACAAGGACTCGAACTGTACAAAGCCACGTTACTGATCTTCGAAAATTAGTGACCACTTGTGACGTCGATGCTTGCCGCCCGTAACTCTGATTAGCGACAACAAAGTCTAATATCTAAAGTACTATAATCGACTGATCTCCCAATACGAAACATATTAATCTTCATAAGAAGAGTATGATCTATTAATGACTTCTGAGGATTCTAACATTTCTTCGTTAATAAGCCGTGTAATAATCTTGTACAAGCTTGAAAACGGGACAAGATTCCTGAGTATGCAGTGGCAACTACTTCACGCATTAAAAATAGACACTACTTGCCTGACGCCTGACGCATGCAGACATTTCCGTTAACACGCTATATTGATTTCGATACAAAATGAAAACAGCAATGTCGAAACGGAAATAACTAAACTTCATTGAGTCCGATACGTGTTCAAAGCATCCTCCAAAAGATCACCTTTGACAAGTTTGCCTGAATTCAATTTCCTTCCATTTGAGTACCTTTGGGCAAAAATATCATTGCCATGGTTGGATTCCGCATGCAAGGCGGAAGGAAGAGAAAATGAATGAAAAGAAGAAACAGGCGTAACTTAAATCACTCCAAACTTGAACTGATAGCAAAGCCAAAAGAAGTTAATGCGGTTTGGTTAGACTTTAAAAGGGCGTTCTGTGGTTTTTGATAACAATCATGAGATGATGTTAAAGTTTGTTGCTGTTTTTAATTTTTTTTCTAATTAATTTTTTTTTCAGATCGCTTTGTTAACTGGATACTAATCGGAATAAAGCCTTTTTCACTTTCATACACTCAAATACTATTTAGCTTTTAACAAAGTGTTATTGATCTGTGACAATCAGTTAAGTCTGCAACTTTGAGTACCGTGCCTTTAAAACAAATTCGATTGTATTGTCAGTCACAATTTTGTCTAAATAAGCAAATATATGCGTTTAATTTGTTTCCAAAAATAAAGATAACAGTTAAGATCACGGTTCAGAATCTAGTCCTACACACGTTTACTCATATGTGGCTTTAAAATTAAGGTTTGTACTCTACAAAGAAAATAAATTAAATCAAGTTGAGATGAATTTTAAAGATCGTGGAACACGAAAGGAGAAATTTCCTCAGAGTAAGAAAGCCCTGACATGAAACTTCATTCGTTCAACTGAGAACATTTTGCTTTATGAAAATTTTCATTATCTGCGTCAGAAAAATGCATCATTGTCTAACAAGTAAGAAGGAGAAGTAACATACGATCCGAACTATAAGTTGAATTTAGTTATGGACGAAAATGAAATTTCACCCATTTACGAAATACCTTCAAAGCAAGATGTTTAAGACATAGTGGGATGGAAAATTAAAATGCAGTCGTTAATGTAAAATGTGACGCTACACTTCAACTCGACAATCCGTCAAAAAAGACATCATATTTGGTAAGAGTCATCCAAAGAAGTTTGTTTGGTTTTCTTTGAGTCGTTACGTCAGCAAACGCCGAAAATGACACAATGGAACTTTGGGTCGTTTTTGGTGATTCCCCCCAAATTAAACATGGAATAGTTACGGCTATGAAAAAACAAAAGCTTTACCTCAATAAATCTGAAGTGGCACCAGTCAAGACCTCTCGTTAGGTATCCTCGTAAATCACTTACTCTGATACTTCAATCCGGTGTACTGTCCGACTGACTGATGTACGTACGCCTTATTATTAATGTCAATCAAAAGAAATCTTAGTCACGGTTCAGTTGTTGTTTACATGTAAATGCTTCCACCTTTGTTTATTTTGGTTCACCAAATGGAGGTTTTTGCTTTTAATCCGCTGGTTCCCCCAACCAATATCGAAGTCAAACTTTTTGTTAATCTTATCTAAACAAGATATAATAGTTTTCACTGTGATGTTTTGTGTGAACGACTAGACAATCTTTATATATACAACCTTTATCTTCAAGAAGTCACAGACATCGGAAAGAACGTATTAAAATCGAGACAAGGCAGGACAGGAAAGTTTGGTGATGAAAGCAAACCGACATTTTACTCAACCAGAAGGTCAACACCAATAACATTTACATTCCTTAAAGATGTCGAGCAGCAGTTGTACAAGAAATGAAAATTAACTATAAGAAGTAAACGATAAACACTTCCCTATTAAAAGTGAAGCTATTTAAAGTCCATTTCTGGGCGTCTGCCCACTAATTCTCTTTAATTTCGTGAAACTGCATTGCGTGCAGCCTCATGCTAGATCTACATGCAATTTGTTTGACTTGCCTTTTTCGCAAAGGGGGAGTCTAAAGTCTGTTTGCGTAAGTAAGTTTTGTCTATTGAGGTCTTCGCGCGTGTACACGTTTCTTATTACAGTATGACGTCATACCAACCTCCGTTTTCCAGTTTTATTTCGTTTTCTAGTTTTCTGTTTGTCCTTCTGCTACCATTGGACAAAGCAACTTCCCTTTCGTTCCACTTTTCAGATTTTCTTACCAGTTTCGAGTGATGAATTTGAGCTCTTAGCAGGAAGATTGTTTATTTTTGGCATTAGATGGCGTTAATGGATTTGTGTTTCACCAAGCTTCAAAGAAACCGGCTAATTCCGCGGAACATCACGAAAGAACGTGCCTTAACAAGGACAAAGGAACTCATCTTGAAAGATCTTCCTACGCCTTCTACAGCCTACTGTGTCTTCAAGTCTTTTCCTTTCCTGTAATCGCATAAGCGGGAATACCAAACGAGTTGCAACAATTCTGGAGAGGCCAAACATTAAGGTTTTCTTTCAGTTTAGATGCCCGCCACCTCTTCAAACTGTCTGCTGCCTTAGTAAACAGGAAGGCTTCCCAAAGTGTTAAGAATTCTCGTAAATTTGATTATATTTCGTTTTGAGTAGCTAGCGAGCCGAATTTCCGCTTTATGAATGGAAAAAGAAAGTTTTGAACTGTTTTCTAATTTACAACATAGCAACTATCGGGATGTCTCTCAAAATGTGAAAAAACGGAAAAGGGTGTGATAAAAACAGCTGTCTATTAGAATCAGCAAGGGAGGCCAGGTGCCTCGCGTTTAAAACCGTGAAAAGCTTTTATTTTCTGTTCAAAATTCACTTAGGAGGGTGAGTAAACGTGAGGTAGACAGACATTAGTTTGGTTCTTGCGCCTCTCGAGTTTGCCGCACTTTTTCCTTTCCGTTTCGGTCACGTGTTGGCGAGAGATAGCCACAAAGACCTCACATGAACGGCGGACACACAGAACGCCTAATTAAATTCCCCAATTAAAAGTCTTTCTTCGGTAAAACGTTCGATGTGTTCACAGTAAGTTGCCGACTAGTCGTGGTTACTGAAATCTTGGAACGAGTGACCGTGATCTTGGTATCCGGCGTGAAATTTCACACTTGACCTCTCCATTCCCATTCATAGCCACTGTAACTTAGCGGAAACTTCCCTCATGAACAGCAACCCAACTGATATTACAACATAATAGAAAGCAAAAGTACTCCCGCTTACCAAAGAGCGCCAAATTCAGGCACTCTACCATCAACAACGTCACAGTACCTCTTGAGAAAAGAAGTCGAAAGTTGGAAGACCACTGATACAAAAAGTTGAACATATATTCTTTGAGGGAGTGACAAGAAGACGTTGAACATTGCACAATTTAGTTCACACTGTTTTTCTGAAGTAAGCAAGTCTGGAAAAAGATAGTTATACCTAAGTTACAATTTTCAGTAACCTTGTAAGATACAAAACTAAATTAATTAAGGATGCACACTAGTTTCACAGAAAAATTGAACAAAATATACTCGTATTTCATACAAAAATTCACAAATCTTGAAACACTTCAATAACTACTTATTCACATTCTAAATATTATTAATAATGGTATTCCTACAAGCTTGTAGTTTTAATAAATCTTGAATAAGAAGAAAACCACAGTGTTGTTCTGTACACAGGACTGTCACTTGACTCCAAATGGGTACAAAAAGTTCTAGCATTTTTAACTTTAAAGCTTATCGTCTACTCAATTTGTATCGGGCGGTTTTTTAATGACAAGAAGCAACAAACAAAAACAAAAGTTACCAGTTGTTGACAAACAAAACGCTGTAAACCAGAGCTAATCAGAAAAAAAAGGTTTCCAAACGTGTGTCAATGGCAATGAAGTACCAAGAACAAACTGTGCAATTCGCTTAGAAAAAAAAAAGGGCCGCAGCCAAAACATAACCACTATAGCTTTATTTTTACCTTTAAATTGCTTCTTTGGTTAATTTCACTTCCAGAGTCATTTGAAAACCGCTCTAACATAATTCCATATACTTTGAAATACTGCAATTAAGAACTAGTCATCTCTGTTTCAGTTGTCACGCAATACTCTTTCCAAAGGAGGAGTACTGCGTGACGAGTTACAACTGATACTCCGAGCGAGGAAGACTAAGCTTTATTACCTCTACGCTGAAGAACGTATCTTGACGTAAAGGAACAAATTAACTTTGTTTTAACGAATCTCAAACATAAGAATCAAGTTTAGTAGCTAATAACTTAGTGTTCCTCGAAATCACCTTTAAAAAAACTGTGACAGTGCTACTCTAATTAATAATCAAAATAAAAATTCATACGCCGCAAATAAGACACAACTCGCCACGATGATTTACAAAGTCAAATGATGGCCGAAACTCTTTCCATTCATCAATTGTCATTTATTTTTACACAAACGATACGAGTTATAAACAAAGGGCATGTGGGTGACAATTCTTAAATACCGCTAATTTCTTATACCATGGACATTTCAAGTCATCCCACACGACGCAAAAACTTAGGACGGAAGGTTAGTATAGAAACCACACCTTTTCCACTACGTAAAGTAGTGAACTTTCGATTGAATATCTGTTTCCTTAACTCCATTCGCTGATTTCAAACTAAGTTAGTTCTGAGAAGTTGGTGTTGCATCAGGGCAATTTCCCAGAGTTAATTTTCTTAGGTCACAATGCTTGTAGGTTCGATAACGCTGGTAGAAGTTGCAAATAGAACGAGATGGATTGTAATATTAAAGTACTGGGGAGTCAAAAGGTTTCTTCTCAAACACTGCTCTGCTACATATTTTTCCAAAATTGCCGACCTATTACCCAAAAAAAAGGCACTGTGATGTATTGTGACACGTTACATGTAGCGTATCTCATTAGAATCTATAAGTACTCGAATGTCACAATACATCACAAGCACTGCAAAATCCAGTTGGTTCTACCTTACATAAAAAGCGACAAAGATTTCGAAAAGGCGTCCACATGTGAGAGTTTGGAGTCGTGCTAAAGAGAGGGAAAGGTCGCTCCATCTTCATCCCCTGCTCTCCACGTCGAATTAAGAGCAATTTTCGCTCGAGTGTCGAAAGTAATCCTAGATTGCCTTACTATAAACAGTGATTGGTCAAGAGAAATCCCCACACCCTCTCAAGGCGTGGGAACTAATCACTAATTGACCACTCACGTTTGTTTGTTTTAACTTGACTTCTCATTGGCCCTTTGATATTCTCCATCGTTTTGATTGGCCAGTGTAATAATTAGGTTTTTGGTTTTACGACACTCAACTGAAATTCGCTCTAATTTCACTAGTTATAGTTACTCTTTCCGATTTGTTTTAATTATCAAGCAATGTTTAGACACGTATTACAAAAAGGTCAGCGGTCGGAATTACTCTTACGTTACATCCCCTCATAAAGTAGAGCAGTGCCCATGAACCTTTAAAGTTCCCGGTCTATTCCATTCTACCTGGTTAGTTCATGGTATAAGTAGAATTTGAACTCCATCGAATGTTCCTAACGGTTGAATGCACCTTGTGTTTCTTTGTGCTATAGACTTTTTTAAACGAGGAGACCTCTAATGGTCTTTGGCGTCGTTTCGTCGTTCAAGTGTTTTGTGCTATACCTGAAAGATGAGGAGAGGCAGTCGGCATAGGTATTTCACAGAACTTGCTAGGGTTATAGACTATTTTATAACGTGGCAGCTGAAAATTACGGCCACAAAAACATAACTGCAAAGGAAATTCATATCAGCTTCTGAACAGCAGCCATTGTTTGATACTCTTACCGTGTCAATTAGGCACCATCATTTCCGCTGAGAAAATGTTATTTTAAATGGAAAAACTAATAAAACATAGGACATACATCTACATTTGACAATTTCAGAATTTATGCTGTTTGATAACTCGAAGGAGACGAATTTCGATCGCCATTCAGACAAGTTTCAATTGTTATATAGAGGCCAAAGTAGCAGTAATTTTCTGTTCGCACACAATTGATCTAGAGAAATTAAAAACGCGTTAGATGAAATAAAAAGTCCACTTAAAACAAAAAGGATTATAATTTTTTTCGTATTTTTTTCCGTTGTTAGGCAAGAAATGAAGAATTGTTAAATCCAGGAGAGACTTCGAGTATTTGGTCACTTGGATTTTACGAATCTAAAAAAATCACTGGCGTTCATTTCTTACCTCAAAGCGTTTAGTAAGCCATCTACGGTTCCTTGAGGTTGATCTTTTAACACTTTTATCGACGCTTTTATCTGAAGAAAGAAAGCAAAGTGAGAGATAAATTCACATCCATCCTGTACACAACAACAGGTGCCTTAATGGTCTTAATGACGTCAGGAGTAGCACTTGACGCAAATAAGTTCTCTGATGCCTCTTAGCTGAGCAAAAATCTCCCTCTGTCTCATGAATTTGGAAAAGATGCATCAATGCAAGTAGATATTGGAAAAATTGGAGGACGTTTGTGCCCATAAAGTATAACTAACATGCAAAAGAATGAGAGGGGATAATCAACATATGCAGTTTTGCGACAGGGTTACAAGTAATTTAGAAAGGTAACACTTGAGTATGAATGGATAAGGAGAGAGAGACTGAGGTAATGTAGAAATGCCAGAATACTTACATCTATATTTGATGTTTTTGCAAAAGCTCCTACAGGATGTACATGATCATACAGAATTATAAGACCAACCTAAAAGAGAAACACAACTTATGTTTAATTACACAGCACAGTGTTTGCAGTACACACATTTTTGAGTGAGTCTTATCAATATCTATTTCAAAAGAGTGTCTTATTAATAATATTGTCTATTTTAAAAAGGCTCACAAATCGTGCAGTTCTTGCTCTCATTCTGGGAATCTATTTACCTTTGTCCACTTTCAAGTCTTTACAGCTCACTGCTTTTGAAATTCACAATGCAGACTTGAGAAATTTAATTGAGGTGCTTCCAGATTTTTAATGACAATACTTCAGACTTGGTTGATGAAAATCTCTTCTAATTTGTGTTTGGCAGGAAAGATGTTAGAATCATCTTGGGATCAAGTTGTTAATTGCCCACAAAGGGAGAACTGTACAAGAAAGATGGTGGGTTCCTGTTTTTCCCCTGATAATGCAAGTCTGTCTACATTCAAACCATGTGGCTCACCCTGCCACAGCTTTTAACAGTTTCTGAACAATGAGACACCTAGATGAGATGGAGCTTGCCCACACCCAAACTTTCATGTGCAGGTTAACCCTTATATCCAGCTGCAGATCCTCAGATCCAGCTGCAATGGTTGCCAGTTTGAAATCTATGTCAGTATAGGCAAGGACTCATGATGACATACCATAACACGGAGACAAAAAAGATGTGTTTCCTCGTTTGCAACTTTAGAAGAAAAATTCCTACAAAACATAAATGTAACAGATAAATAAATTTGTAAAGAATAATTAAACTATTTTTAAAACTCAGCCTCCATGGCCTTAAACTATAAACTCTCAAATCTGACCCAATTTATCCTTCCTATATGCCATACATTTCCTGTTACTTGGTTTGGAGAATTTGATATTGTGACAAGAAATGTCATCCAGATGATAATCGTGCCTGTTCTTCTCGGCTTCCTGCTGGATAACACATTGATATGGGAGGAAGTTACAAGTTTGTCACTTTAGGACTCAAAGGGCTCATATTGATAAAGAAGATCAGTCCAACAGCACTACCCATAACTTAGGGGTTAACTTATATTGCCTTATCCCTCCAATAAACAATGATTTTCCAAGATCCACAAATAACTCACAATATTGTTTACCAAACAATTTGGTGAATGCTTGAAAAAAAGAAGACCACTTGAAATCTCTAACCCTTTAAGTCCCTCTAGTGACCTACACACAGTTTCTCCTTACAATATCAGTACAGTATCAAGCAGACAAGTAAAGAGAATAAAGAAAAATATCAATTAGAGGATTATTGGTTGATCCAATTCCGAATTCTCCAAACTAACATCATATGAATTGCATGGTAGACAGTAAGGAGAATTACTGATGAGATCTTGGGAGTTAAAGGGTTAATCTCTTAGGGAGAAGACCACAATACTTACGGATTCTCTATCATAGTTCTGCATAAATTTGCTAATGTGCTAAGGCAGTCTGTTGTATTTTCTATAGGAAGGCTTTTGTTCTGGGAATAAGATAAGAAAAATGAGTCAAATCACTGACTACCTCACTTTCAGTACTACAAGCTCACATTTGCCCAGAACCCAACATATCTGGGGAAGCCCAAAGTACTGTTAAAAGTTGAGGGGGTTATAGTTTTCAAAAGGCTTCCTCTTAAGGGGTAAATATTTGAGGGAAAACATTTCTAAAAAAGACTGAGCCTAAGGTTGGAGAATTTTTATAAAAAAAAGTTAATGTAATGATCTTAATAATGGTGTATTCCCTTCAAACTGTACAGCAACTGTGTATTGTATACATTGAAAATGGAATATTGTAAAAGAGCTAAATGGAAGCACTTTCAAACTGCATGGCTGCAATTCCAGGAAAATCTACATAATCAATGACATGTTTCACCAGATCTCAAATGCTCCAACATAATATGGTTTAGAGATGTTTATAAGGCAAATTTCTTATGTAGGCTTCTGAGGGCTTATAAACATAAGTGATTTGTTTTGGGCAGGGGGGAAGGTTTAAGGCTTTTATTGGAATTTGGCATCAAGTAGCAAAGGGCTAAGGGTGTGGTCAAATATGTGAGAGATGACAGAAGTTGTTGTTCAATCAGCCTTCGAGAAAAGCGCCATGACTGTGGTAAGGAATACCTAAAAAGGGTTGCTTCTCACATGTACATTGCTGTCACATTCTACAGCAAAAATCAATAACAGCCACCACCTTGAGCTAAAGTTCTTGTGGGTCATTTTGTTGGATGCTAAGAATAGCTTCAGGGAGGTGATTCCATACAAAACATCTATCAAAGATTACTTTTAATGTTTTGTAAAAACATTCAATAGGAGCCCCTAGTTTACCTCTGTCACAAACTTTGATGTGGCATCACTAAGAATTTTCAGAAGTGGTGTGGGGTAAGCATAAAATAAAGACATTCTGTTTGCCATTTCATTGGTCACTTGAATTCCTTCACTATCATCATCCTGCAATCAAAATTTCAATATGCCACAAATTTGATGAGATCAAAAAGTTCACTTCTTCATCATTTCCACAGACATAAGATATCCAAGTTCTGAGAAAAAAAATGAAATTTCCTTGGCCAAATAAACACAAAATGTAACATACAGAAGACACCTCTCAGTTCCCCAAACAGTTTCCCTTTCCACTTCTGATAAATTAATTAAAGAAAACCATGGAAAGTATCTGAATGACAGTCTTTCCAAATGCCTTTTTCAAGAGCAAAACCATCAAGATTAATGCAATGAAAAATGGTTGTTCCAGCTTCCAATTTTATCAATTTCCTTAATATTTACAGGTCAGGTAGAGTCCAGGTCAGTAGATTCACTCCAGAAGACCTTTCCAACTGCAGTTGGCTAAGGGATAGCATGAACTAATGCAATTTTTCTGTGATAATCAGTTACTTACAGTAAGCTGACAACATCACAACTTCAACATAAAGGGCCTGAGTGGTTCAGTACCCTTGTTGGAAGCAAAGGCTTGGCTTACAAGAAAAATTTTTAAAGGTCTTTCGCAAGTTTCTGATCAGTGACCCTGTCAGTTTGATTCAGATTAAAGAATGACTTGAGCGCAGACTTGACTAGGCTAATTATCAATTTTGCAGCAACCAACTTTGTGGTGCCCATGTGTAAAAACAGACCCTTTCTGGTATTTTCATGTGAAACTCACCGCATTTGCCATTTTCCTTCTACTCAGTGTTCTTCTGTAGTAACTAAAGTCATTTTGAATAGATGGATTTGTCATCTGCAATCATTGGAGAAATTAAGAGTATTTTAATTAATATAGAGCAAGTTCATTACCACAATAAGAATATACATGCTTTTCCTCAGGCAAATAAAGAAATAACAAAACAAAAAATGCTTAACATAAAAGACACTAGTTTGTTGCTGATCTTCACTGTACTTAATAATTTGACCATGACCTTCCTCTAGAGTACAGTTAATTTTAAGGGAGCAAAAACACATAGGCAGTACCTTTAAGTCATCAAATTTCAGTGTGAAGTGAAGAATTTCAGCAAACTGTTTTGCAAGGGCCTGTAATAACAAGAAAAATAAATTACATGCTGGCTGAAATGTTAAAAATCAATTGCGTTCATTTTACAGAACTTTTAAATGGCCATATATATGGTTAAGAAGCATTATCAATATAGCAATAAGTTATTTCACAACATCATTATGAGTAGGACAATGATTCCATTGTATCATGTATCATATTTTTATGATTATTGAAAGATCAAAAATGCACAAAACTAACAACAAGTTTTCCACCATCTATTCTTTTGTTGTGGTGTGTTGTTGGGTAAAACACTCTTCTCATACAGTGCCTCTTTCTGACCAAGAGTGTTTTATTAATCAATGAATGATGAACAGTATGGGAAAGGGTGTTATACCCTGCTTGACCAGATAACCCTGAGAAATTTACCCCAATCGAGAGAAAAAAATCTGTCATTGCTACCAAAAGAAAGGGCTGTTCAAGTTGTTGCACTCATCACATCTTAGAGAATTTGATTTGCAGACAATCTTCTGCTAAACATCAATTTTTTATTTCTCTGGCCTATATGTTTTGATCATTTTATGTATTTGTATACTACTTTGGGAAGCCTTTTTTCCTCAAATAAAACCGTTGCACCCTTAAAAGAATAGGTGTTATATACATCTCTTCTTTCCTTACAACAGCCACCTCAACAGCCACTTTCCCACATGGGGCTTCTTTCTTCTGTTCCCAAGGTGTAATGTTTGTATATATTGGTGTAAGGTCTTGTTTGAATTTAGTTTGAGTTTTTTCCTTACCTGTTGCCGTTCTAGATGTTCAATAGGAGTCTCAGGTCCAGAACAAAGAGCATATAGAAGCTGGGGAAGAACAGCCTCTGTGAAAAAAAACAAAAAATAAATAAAACATGCAAAAATTTGAAACACCAAGTTTTTAACTAGTATTTAAAAATGTAGATTGGCAATCACAATTTTGAAAGACATTTCAACCACTTTATACCATCAATTTTGAATTGGTAATTGTTGAATCATGTAGGGATTGTCACATAATAGAGTGCAGCAAGCAGAAGCTTTCCCTAATTAGGGATTTCATGGTGAAAACAACAGACATATTCCAAATTTCAAATAACTAAGGGGTTATGCTTGATCAGGTGAGGCAAATGTTACCTACAATATATCTTGGTCATGGTTATGGTCACTGGAAGTAGTTATTATTATCAAAAGTCAAGGCTTATGGTTGACCTCATCTTGTCTGAGGCTCTCTACAACTTATAAACCTCTCTTTAACTACACTGACAAGGCAGAAAATTAAAAAGGAGCCAAATTATTTATTACAAATAACTTCCCACTATTTCAGTGCTAGGTTTGAGTCTTAAATGCATCTTCACCTCACATGACATTCTCTTACCAAGCTCTAAGGCAAATTCATAAAACGTCTTAAGTTTTCCAACAAGTGGCACCACTGCTTTCCATGCAACCTCTTGGAGCTCTTCATTGAGAGCATTGGAAATTGCCTGAAGACAGAAAAATTTCAGGCAGGGATTAAATAACTTCTGGAGAGAGTATCAGTGCTCTATAATCTCCAACAAAATATCTGTGATGAAACAAGTAGCATTTGCTGGTTTAACTAAATAGTATTATAAAATAATTCAAATAGTACGCACTAGTTATTTTATAAAAGAAATGTAAAATGGTTTCCGTGTTTACATAGCCTGATATAAACACACGGGAGGTTGGGAGAACACGAGATAAGCTGGAAACCACTCCACTTCGCGTAGTGGTTTCCTACGCTTATCTCGTGTTCTCCCAACCTCCTGCATGTTCACATTAGGCTATGTAAACACGGAAACTATTTTACATTTCTTCAGCAGAAACTCACAATTATGGCACTTACTTGTCTTATTTCTTCCCCAGCCCCTTGGTAATCTTGTAACTCCTGCAGAATTTGAGGCGCAACATCTAACACACTGTGAACCACATCAAACACTTCTTTTTCTGATTCTGTTGGGGTAGCATCTAAAAACAATACAAATTTAAACAAGATAACTTTGAACCTTAATAATTAACATAACTGACCGTTTTGAGCTCCTCAGGCACACAAATAATTGAAATAGCATGCTGAAGGATAAAATTTGGTTTTGTGTAGATTGAAAGATCACATTACCAGTTGAAAAGACATTTCCCAAAAATGAGAGACTGGTCATTATTGATTGCTTGGGGTGAGGGAGGTGTTTGGAGGATTTTGGATGTGTTACAACAAAATTTACCTGATCCCCCTCCCCATGACTCTCTCATTAGTTTTGAATTTTCTATAGTTCCTCACTTTATACTATGTTGGCAATGACTGATCTCCCCTGTGTTCCCCCTGTTAATCATCTGATCTCCCAAAAATCCACCACCCACCCCCAAATTCCCAGACAATTAACAATTGGTTCATACATCAGCATGAGTTCATAGAGATATGAAGCATGCAGGAAGTTTGAAGAGCATGAAAGATGCATAAGAGTTGCTTGAGGCATAGTCGAGAGGAACTCTAGCTTCTTGAGTGCTCTCCAAACTTCCCAAGTGCTTCATATCTCGATGAACGCACAGCTGACATATGAATCAATTGTTTTAAAACATTTTGAACCCCATGGAAAATTGTTTTTTCTCGAGGGATTTGTTTGCTGACATCATGAGCGTGCACAATAGGAATATGAAGCATGCTCATGCAATTGAATTTGATTAGACAAATTTACTAGCTATGTTATAACAGGTGATGACTGGTACTCAAAGCACATCTGTGCTTATTGTTATTGAGAGAATAATCCTTGTTCTAACAGAAAACAGGAAAACTAGTGTTAAATGAAAAAGTACAGTGTGGATACCAATCAAAAGGAGAGAAATGCTCACGAGAACTTGAATAATGGCACATATTTTTGTAGCCTTAACCCTGTTGATCCTAGGATCTCATGAGTAGTTCTCCCTACTGTCTGCCAGAGAAGTCTTCTAATGTTGATTCACAGAATTTGTTACTTAACCAACTAATAACACTCCAATTGATCACTTTCTTTTACTCTCAATAATATTGTACTCTTTTACTCTCCTAATATTGTAAGGAGAAATCCTGTCTTGATCACTCATGGGAATTAAAGGGTAAAAGTGTGGGAGTAGGTAAGAAACCAAGTCTTCCTTGATTTAAGCTATTGCATCTAGTGGCAAACTCAGAGAAATCTTGGATTACCTCACAAAAGACTACTCTACAATCTGTGCCCGAATTTCTTCACGTTTCTGATTCTGTAATTTCCTGAATTTTAGTTCAGCAGTGATTTAATTCATGTATTATATCCACAATGTTATCACAAGCCCTGGATGTCTATGGGCTTCCTTCCCCATTATAAGAATAACATACTTCTAAATTTTGCTACACCACAAGTAAACACAGAGCTCATGGTTTAACTCAGAATAGAAACTACTGATATTAATTGACAATCATTCCAATGACCAAACCTACTTTCAAAATCCAAGAAAATGTCAATTTTGCTACCACAGCCATCATTTTCTTCTTTTGTTAGGAGCTTCAGGAGATTCCCCATAACAGGATGCTCGTCATCAACTGCAGCTGTGAACAGAAATAACAATAGAATAAAAAAATCATGTTCTTGCTATTTATTGAGACATTGTGTTGGGGCCTTAGGCTATGTTTTTTCATTTTGACTCGAACAGAATAATAAGAAACAAAAGGAAAATTGGGTAATAGTTTAAAGGGTGAAAAAAAGTCGAGTAGAGTGCAACAAAATTGCTTTCCACTCTTGATATCCATAGAAAAATGCACAAGAAAGCTTTGAATTTGGTTCTATTGTTTCAAATTAACTGAACACCCTGTCAGTCTACCCAAGGAATGCTTCCCTTTCTTAGTGTGTGTTAAAAAACAAAGTAAATAACTTGAACTTTGTTTTGAATGCATAACGTATTAAATGTTCATTTTACAAATGGTGTCAGTTTAAAATATTTCTGAAAAAGATTTCAGTAGAGGCTGAGGGTTACTTTTAAGTGTTCTTACTATGGTGACCTTGGCAACATTGAGAACAATAGCTAAGGGAAAAAGAGGTTATCTTAAGAATATTGTAGTTATTCATATCTAATTAATGTATTTAATTGGCTTTTTTCAACAGAATGTGAAAGGAAAGTACCTAATTCCACAAAGAATTACAATAAATTGGTCTCAATGTGCCCCCAACCCCTCTCCTCCCAGACTGAAAGAGTGAGAGATTGTCACTTAAGAAAGGTGTTAGCACAGGGATGCTAAACCATTTTTCAAAAGGGGAAATATTTTTCACAACTATCTTTTATGTACTCAGTTATCTATAATGGATCACATCTGCCTAAATCCTAATTTATAGACATCATCCCTCTACTCACACCAAAAAGGTTTAACAGGAAAAGTAGACAAATACAAAACTCCAAGCCCTGTCACAAGTCTGACCCACACATTAGGATAAAACCGATAAGATTTCATGTCACAGGTGTGTAGTAAATATGTTTATTTTTCTTTTATTATTGTAAATGAAGTCAGGCATTTCCTTTAAGACATATTCCATTAACAAATAAATGAAACGATTTTATCTTAGTGTAAATATAAGATTAAAATACCACATCAAATAATGCTTACGTTTATGTACAGTGAATGCAATATAGCAAGTTTTAGTGGTATTATTAAGTGATCTTTGTTCCTTAACTGTAAGAGGTTCGAAGTGGATGATATTCCAGGAAATGACAACACAAACTATGCACTAAACGCAATAATTGAATATACTTATTCAAATTGACAATTTTACATGCACATGCAGATAACTCTTAAGTGAAAATGAAACAAAAGCCAACGATTCCACGTTAATTTCAAAGTGGAGTTATGAACAAAAATCATTAATCCTTGTGAGTCTAAAAATTTGTTTAGTTTTCAAAATGAAAAAAAATGTACAAAGTGTAGACTCGTTCTTGATTTTAAAATTATACGCAAGCCTAACAAACGTCAAGTAATTAAACGTACTCTGAGCTGTTCGATCAAATCATGTTTATTTCGATTCATGTCAATAACCCTATACGTGCATCGAGGCCTCCAACGCCCGATAAAATGAATTAGACAGGTTGAAGACTTTAAATGTAACGAGGAAGTAAATGAAGGCGTGAATAAAAAGACCCCAACGAATATTAATTCACTCGAATAAGAAAGCATATTAGCAGTTACGAGACCGATGACAATGTATTGTAAGAGTGAACACAGTCATGTTTCGAGACTGGAAAGGTTAGAGAGGACGTAAACATTTTGAACAAAGATTATTCGCGTCGCTTATGAAGAAAGCTTGGGCAAATTTTCACTTAATATGGACATTTCTCTACTGTTCTTCGGTCAATAAACAAGAAAGTCGAGTAACACGGGTATGTGGCGTGAACAGAAATCTACACGAAATCGAACAACCTCAAAATCGTAACCAGTTACGCTTTCCACTGCAACCTTGAAATCTAGAGTAAAATCAGGAAAAGAAAACTACGAGCACTTAAGGAGAAAAGGAGCCCGATCCAATGGGAGTAAAGTTCGTGTTTTCAATGTACAGGAAAACGGTTCGAAATCATGAAGCAACAGTTTAACGACACTTACCTCACCCCAACCGGAAAGGGAAACGGACAACCACAACTTGCCAGGGAACAGAGGGTCCCTAACTCGTCAAAATACGATTCGACCCTCTCTTTCGCCGCCGAAGTTAAAGAAACGTTCACAAAAGTAACAAAAAACGCACTTTCTTTTCTTAGAAGTCAGCGGAAAGAGCTGCTGGCTTGAACTCTTCCTTGTTGCTCTGTGGTGCCTCAAGGGTAGGGAATTGGCACATTTCCACGCCCTCCTAGCCCATAATACTAAAGGACTGTTTTAAAATTAGGCCCCATATTTAGTTCGACCATTGTGTACGGGTCCATTACTTTTCATCACCAAATATGGTAAAATATTGGCGGTAAAACAAGGGAAGGCATCTTAGAAGATGCGCGATACTGAGACCCAGGAAAGATCGTAGTTATAAGGCATGACCCGAAATATTAAAGTACTGACGTTAGACGACGTTTCCAAAGAGTTTTCGGAAAATGCCGAAAGTTGCCGTAGTCGATTTCCTCTTTCTTGTTTTCTTGTAATATTTTTTATATTACTGGGTTCAATGAACGAATAGTTTTGTAATGTGTAAGCTTTAGAACCTCTTTCGATTGTATAGAGCGTTTGATGCATATCTGGGTCGCTGTCGATGTGAAGGATCCCTCTAACTCATCCCTTGGTCCCTTCAGGGCATCTCGTGGATGACAAGATTCGGAAGTGAAATTAAAAATTTCACAGCTTCGTTTCTGGTAGGTTAAGAACCGCGGTGTAACGACCCAATGGTTTTTGCTTTAAAAAAAAAAGCGGGAAAATTAGAGCTGGAATATTAAACATCTCGTGTGCGAGGTTTTTATCGTCTTGACTGGAATGGATTCGCTAGTCGGGAAATTAAAGAATTTTGTGCCCATAGACAAAAGGTTTGGCTACGTTGACGACGTGGATATGGCATACCATGAACCAAGTTTTACGCGAATTTGAAACAATAATAACGACAAGATTTTGTTCGTTCTATTCCAAAGATTTTGGAAAACATCACCATCGAGGTATTGGAAAAGATCAAATTGAAATCCACAACTACGCCTAGATAAGTATCGCTCAGTAATGAACCTCACCTCGAGCTCTCACGCATTGAGCGTGACTCACGCAAACAAATTCAATCTTACGCTCTCACGCTGAAACTAGCTTTCTAATTTAAACTGTTGATTTTGGGATAGAAAACTGCTGCTTAAGTTAGGAACAGGAAGGTAATGCCTTAGGCACCAGAAGCGACGGCTATGCGTTCAAAAATGTGACCTTTTAGCAGAAAACCAACTTGAGGAATTGTCACACAACGTGCGTGACTTAAATATGCCCTTGATGTGTTCTAATTTTTAATAAACAGGAAGTGAGAAGTCTAAAAAACACAAAATTTACTCCGAAGGTCCTGCGGCTGGAAATACCAGGATACAATTTGACGGATGTCCATTAATCATCGTTGGGAGAAAAGTATGTGACTGCCAGCATGGCGTGGAACGTGACCGTCACGCCAAGGAAAAGAAAAGGAACTAGCAGAATGAAGTGAGAAAACAACCTTGAAGAAAAAAAACCAACAAAAAAAACAACCTGCAACTGGAAAGGCGAGAGGGCAAAGGCGAGTCTACATTGAATTTCTTAGAGAGTGCGACCACACAAATCATTTTTCAGGGCAGGTAAGTTATGTTTGTATCAGAGCCAAAAACGTGGTTGGGAATAAGCCACCAGTGCATTTTCCCAGAGGACTGAATCCCGTATTTATTAAAATTATCTTTCCTTTCACAGGTGGCTGAACTATCGCAAAGAATTGATCCACGAATAGTCGAAAAAATACATGCTTTAGCTGGCGATAGTTTTCGAGATGTTAACTAGATGAGACGTCACATCCATGTGTATGTCCAGAATAGCCGTTTTCTAGGGAGCGTACCACCTCTCAAATCCAATAAACGCTTCTGCCCAAGCAAGACTACATTACAAAACCACATGGACATCGCGGTAATCAAACAGCGACCGAGCAAACCTCGCCGAAAAAATAAAGGTTTGGCGCGCTCATCGAATATGTGTTTTTGTCACATTTTTTTTAATTGCGAACAAAAAGCAACGAATTGATCTGCAGTAGACAGCTGAAGACAGCTGTTTGATTGACGATAAAACTTTTTCTCTTTGTATTAGAATGTCTGGTCTACATCTGAGATTTTCACAGAGAGAAAGCGTGGGAGCATTGGAACAAGTCTCTTTTGAAAGGAAACGCTTTAGCTGCTATGAGGAAGATTGCCCGCGCCAGGACTGTCCAGGAGTACTCATTTATTTCATAGCTTAAGTCATTAAGCGGAAACGAAGGGCACTGAGAAGTACTCACTATGGTTGCAGATCAAAATTTAATTACCCGTACTCTTACTCTTGACAGATATCTCGCACCTGCTGCATTAAAAAATGCACTTTAGTCAGGAAGTGCCAGTACCTTTAAGGAGATTCAAAAGCTAAAAGAAGACAGCCTTTCTCCGGTCGCCATGGTGAAAGGGTTGAAATGATGGAAAGTAAGTACAAAGTTAATCATAACAAAGTTAATCATAACAGCAGGGCAACACATTCCTAAACGTGCCAGAAGCAGTCTGACTAACTGGGATATTGAGTTTGAAATTGTCCCAATGGATTTAGATAACGCAAGTGTTGATGACATGGCATGACCAACTTTGATGACATGGTGTTGGAAAATCCATTCATTCCTATAACCCTGCACCTGCTGCAACTAGCTCCATTGACAAAGAGGTCCAGGAAACTGAATCTACTACCCCTTCTAAATCTGATGTTGAGTCTCAAAGTTCAAAGTTCTCTTAAAACACAGGATGAACCCTGCAACACCAACTTTGATGCCAAATTCATTGTTGCAGATGAAACATCCCCTGACCCTGTCCTCTGGGTCTATATAAATAACAGTAGCGGCAAGCGATCTCTTAATCCTGAAAACAAGGAAAACATCTTGAAACCAGAAAGTCGGAGTGAACAGCAAATTTTCAGCTGCTTTAACTTCATCTCTTCAAATTTTACAGACCTTATATCCTTAAAGGAAGAGCAGATGGAATGCATCTGAAGAATTACTTACTCAGAAGAAGACGTTTTAGTCGTTTTTCCGACGGAATTTGACAAGAGACATGATTCGGAAAGTTATGAAATTGTATCGCCCCACTGAGTTGTTGTTGTGAGTCCCCTGGAGTATACACGGAAGCAAAAAGTCGAAAATCTTAAGAACACACACTGGAGAATTGAATCAGTTCTTAGTCTTACGTGATTTTTTTTAAAGAAAGTACCTGATGACTAACGAGGAAGAATTGTTTTTTCTTTTTTTTGTCACCAGGAAGCACAGCAGGCAGAAAATTTAGTCCCACACTTTTGATCACTTCCGACAAAATAGAGGACCTTGACTTTTGCCGATTCTCTGTTTCTCGATAGCTTTGACAGGGGAACCGCACCAAAGGTTAAGCATGGTGCGCAAAAGCAGAAGTGCTTAAAAAATCTGCAAGAATTTTCGCTGTCACTAGCAGGAGATAACGACTAATCCATATTTACAGTATTTTCAGTAAATACAGTGCTCGAGTTAGAAAGATAATAGCTACAGGAGCTGTTTCGAACCTCAGCGCTGCGAACAAATGACGTCACAGATTTTCACTCAGACGTGCCACGTGCGAACGACTCGCAGCCGGTTGTCTTTTTGGTGTCTGTAAACTCGTGAACGTGACTTTTTTTTAAACCACTTTTTCGCGAGCAGATGAAATATCCAGCTCAATGTCAAACAGAAAACCTGGGAATTATTTGTTAAATCGACAAATGCTTGGGTGAAAATGCAAAGAATTGGAAAATAATGGTGATTTTGTCGTCTATGGGCCGTGTTTACAAATGTCTTAGTGCAGAAAGGTTTGTTTGAATGACAAAAAAAAGGTTCTCTTTTCATTTCTCCAGTGAAAGAATAAAATTACAGACGTTTGCTTTAACTATCAATAAAAATCCTCGAAAACTACACTGGAATCAAGAATAGACAGTTTCTTATCTAACTTGCGATCAAGCGTTCTTAAGGGTAGCGTGAAAGTCAGCAAACGGGGAAGGGCTAAAAAAAACGCCTGCCTGTCAACAGAGAGAGATCTTGACTGAGTCACGTAGACGAGCAACCAGTCATGCCTATTAATTTATTGAATATATTTGATTCATTTTGAACTGATCCGGTGATCCGGTGATCCGGTGATCCGGTAATCCAGTGATCCTTAATCCAGTTTTTCCAGGAAACCTCTGACGTCAGTGTTGTGAATATCTAATAAAGTGTTGTTTTGACCACGAGTTGGTGGTCTGCGGTCTTATAAGGAAATGTGATATGGCAACCTCTTTGGCTCGGCCTTTTGTACGAACCTTTTTCTTTCCTAAAACTCCTAATTTTAAATTTATACCAAAGAAAACACACCGTTCCATGAGCATCGCCTCTTCTAAACTCCATGTGAACGGGGTCAACATTCATTACGAAGTTGCTGGTCAAGGCAGCCATGTTGTTTTATGTATGCCTGGTGCTCTGGGATCAACGCAAAGTGATTTTGGTCCGCAGCTGAAGGGACTTAAGGACGAGTTTACAGTTATAGCGTTTGATCCTCGAGGATATGGAAAATCGACTCCTCCAAAACGGGATTTTCCAATTGACTTTTTTGAAAGAGATGCAAATGATGCTGCGTCTCTTATGAAGGTGCTTGGTGAGTTAATCTGTTGATTTTACCCACTTTAAAATTTGATTGAAAGTGGCTTTCGAATCTGTAATGAGGTCTTTGATAGGAAAATTCGTGTGCTAAAGGTTTAAAAATCGTATACCCAAAGCCTTAGGATAAGACTTAGAGTTAAAAAGTTTGTTTGAATGGAAAAAAATAGCTGCACATCCGGACCTCGATTAACCGGATTTCTCGATGATCCAGACCTTTTCTCTGGTCCCAATTTTGTCATGAATATTTATTAGTCATGATCGATATCCGAAACCATAATCTCTTTAAAACTACAACGTTGAAAAGTGTAGTAAAGGCTAGTTTGTTTTGCTTTGAAAAGGCAAAAGCATCACTCGCTGTTCACTCGAATGCTCACTCGAACGAGGTCTGATTGGCTTATACTCATCTTCTGGATTATCTGGACCCTCGATCATCCGGACTGTTTCGTCTAGTTCCAACGAGTCTGGATAATCGAGGCTCGACTGTAGTTGAGAAACCATCTTATGACTGATATGAGTAAAGAAAGTCTGAAAACTTCCTCATTTCAGGCCACTCTAAATATTCACTTCTGGGATGGAGTGATGGGGGAATAACTGCCATGATACTGGCCGCCGCACATCCTAAAAGCATCCATCACCTGGTAGTTTGGGGAGCTAATGCCACTGTAACAGCTAAAGATATTGAGCTGTATGAAGTCATCAGAGACACATCAAAATGGAGCCCCAAGATGAGAGAGCCTTTAGAGGGTGAGACATCTCTAATGAATACCATGTGGATTTTCTTAAAACATGCCTAGAAAGATTTGTTAGTGAACAGTTTTATTTTTCTGAATTGCTGAGGGTTTTTGGCCTTTTTTCACATTTTGTTTGCACTTTGATCATTAAAATATCCTCATCCGAAGAGCCTACAAACTCCATGAGTATCCGCAGATTTAGGAATGGTGGTAAACTGAGCATACTCTTTCATCCCTCTTCAAAAATTATTACCGAAATGTGGTGAACCAGCAGAAGTACGCTGAAATCACCAGAATGGCACCAAATGGGTAATTATTCTCATGCAAACACAGACAAATTACCTCTCTGCTTACAATGACAACTCATATCTTTATTAGTCTCCGACATTTTCTCTCAGATGTCATCAGTCATTAAAAAAGGTTAAGTCTGGTTTCAAGCAAAGTAGCTCATCTAGCAGGAACTTATTCTGGTTTGCGTAGTGTGAAGTGATAAGGTGCATTGCTGCTGCCCCTTGATGGCATGTCAGTCAATCATAGGGTATGTCCTTATGATCACAGGTTACCCCCCCCCCTTTAGAATTTCTTCAGGCTTCCCTCACAGGTGGCTGATACCCATTCATACTCCTGAGTAGAGGGGGGGGGCTGCAAGAGCTAAGGGTCCTTCCTAATATGTATTTATTTTGTGTTAATGTTAAAAAGTATTTGTACAACATTTTTACTAGCACCAAAATGGCTTTACTCCATTCAGCAATATCATGTTTTGGAGCTTTTATGTATTCTAAGCTCTTTGTGGTTTCATTTTAGCCTTGTATGGAAAAGAAGGACTCCAAGAGATGAACAGTGGCTGGATAGATGGCATAAGTCGATTTTATACTGACAGAGGTGGTGACATTTGTACCAGTGCTGTGAAGAAGATTAATTGCCCCACCCTGGTAGTACATGGGCAGAAGGACCCCCTGGTGCCTCAATTTCACCCTGATTATCTACATGCCAACATTAAGGGTGCTAAGCTGCATGTCATGCCTGAAGGAAGACACAACCTTCACCTTAGATATGCTGACGAATTTAACACACTCGTCAAGGCGTTTTTGAAAGGGAAATCAAAAATTTAAACCCATGTTCTATTAAGAATCATTGTTTTTATAAAAGATTATTTTTTTCCTGTAGAAAGGTTCGGAGTATTTAGTTAGTTCAACTCTGGTCAATATGTCAAGAGATTTGATAACAGCAGCATGCCAAATTAACAGCATAAAAATGCTGATGAACTAAAAAGAAACAGAATAAACCTTGAAACACATGGATGAGGAAAGGTTGTAGATTATTAAACAGATTTCATTCGAATGAACACGCAAATCTTGAAAGTGATAATTGAGCTCAATCATTTTTTATGAAAGTCCTAATTGTAATGAGTGAAGATAAGCTTTAAAAGTTAAATCTTCTGTAATGTGTAAAGAAAAGGAAACTACTTCAGCTTCCAGAATTATTTCTACAGTTTTATACCATAGTTAGTAGAGGGGACAATGATATACACCGAACACACTTTACACTGAAGGAGATGATGTTTCAGGTAGTGATTTCTTTAAATGATATGTCAGTTTTACAGGTGACGTTGTCTGCTGTAGGTTAATTTTTTTGCAGTCCAGTACAGGTTTTAGGAGACAAAAACAGATGTTTCGGTTATTTAAAGAGAATAGTCTGGAAAAGTTAACTTAGTAGGAAGGTAAATGGAAGAAAAGAAAGAGGACTAGTAAGAAGGCAATGCTGGGAAAGATCCAAACACACTAGATGCATTTAACAAACCAAAACAGAAGCTGGAAGACAAGAGTTAGATAGACACCGGTAGCGAAGTGTGGCTCAAACTGCGACGTGTAGTGGGATAAGCAGTTAAAGAGACATGGTTTTGTCCAGGAAGCTCCCTAGCTGTGAAACCATCGAAGTTAAGTAAGTATTGCCTTCAGTCATTCTGTGAATTTTTTTTTTTTTAAGATTGGATGTCATATCACCTCCAAACCAAATAATCCCAAGCGGCTTCTTATCCATAGAGTAATTTTGGATTGGTTGCCGTAAGTTTTCAGGGATTCCTTTTGTCTTCTGTGATTGGTTCATCCCTTTTATTGCGCTGTGATTGGTTCAGAAAACTCAGGCCATCCTCTTAACCTTCAGGTCTACGTTGTAAAACTAACGCCGGTCGCGAATTGGTAATCCGCGTTTTCACGCGCGCAGGGCAGTTCACATGTTTCTACTTTGAGTTCTAATTGGTTACTTTAGAAATATTTCTTAGTTCTTATTGGCTGAAAGTGGACGGTCTCAGGTACGATTCTTAAGGGGACTCAGAATTTTAATTTATGTCAAACTTTACGTAAGATTTGTTTTATGGACGCACAGTTGAATAGCGCTCTAGAGTCAGCCCACTCTCGAGAATGGCACACAAAGGCGATAAAACACCACACATCAGTCGAGTGACATTTCCTGAATTTTACTAAGACGTGCGGTTCGGAATGCTTTACATTGTGTGGTATTCATTGCTCTTTTTCACACTGTGAAATTTCTGCGTGGAGTTCTTTACTTTGGCTTTCAATTTATTTCGACGAACATTAACCACCAACACTAAGATAGTAAATCTGTGGCATTTACCAAGCCTTACAATGGACTACTAACATTGAATTCGTCAAATTCTCCGTTTCCTGTTGTTTTTCTCAGCACTGTTGACTTTCGAAAAGCTTCAGGGACAGGAAATTCCTGCACTTTCGACTCGCCGTTTCGGTTCTTTGTCCGACTTCCTAATATGGAAATGATATGTTTCAAAGCAGCCTTGTAACCTGCTCGGTATCGCTGGCTCACCAGTATACACGTGACTGGATGCACAAACGGGTCAATTGTGGACAACGCAAACGCCAATAGATCAAAATACGTGCTGCGCCAATTTACATGATAAATGAGCACCACTCGAATCTGAAAATGATAATAAAAAAAAGTGATTTGGACAATGAATAAAGGGGGTAAGTTTCTGAAGAAACTGAGGTGCTGCGTCGATGGGAGAGTATAGCAGGTAATCTAGTGTTAACAACTGAGTTGAAAACGTAAATTGGCCACCGTTAAGAGTAAAAAAGCTGACATTTCGAGCGTTAGCCCTTCGTCAAAGCGATAGACGAAGGGCTAACGCTCGAAACGTCAGCTTTTTTACTCTTTACGGTGGCCAATTTACGTTTTCAACTCAGTTGTCAATACTAAATTATCTGATGTGAACACTCAGAACATCAGATACAGACTATCGGAAGTTATTCATAACCATTACAATTTCCTCAAATGTGATTAGTGCATTAGCTGATTTATTTTTCACTTATCATTCTGTACAGTTGTGTAATTGGACAGTTGGCTGTAATCGGACAGTTGAAGTAGCCAACATAATAAGTCCACTCAGCTAGATCCACCAATCACAGAACTGATCACAATAACCATAGCAAAAACCACTCATCCTGGAAAAAACTGGGAATTTCCAAAATAGAGGAATATTTTTACTATAGACATCCTCTCTACCAAAGATGTTTGTCCTAAATGTTATTTTTTTTCGGAAGTTGTAACGGTTATGATAAATTTGTGGGAGGTCCTCGTGTCGTCCAATTCTGTCTATAATCACAATCTTGGTTGACAAAGCAGACTCCCGCTTCGCGGTCACTGGTATGATTACAGACTGAATTGGACTCCACTGGTTCCTATCACCATTATAACCATGGCCCGTTTATCTTGAAAGAATTAGCTGCATTCCTTGTGATTGTTTTTCTTCATGTCCTTTTTCGTTTTGTTCATCTCGTCAGTTTTGTGTGTCTTCATCAGGCTTCATTTTAATTTCTTTCACGCTGGGGGATATATTTTAAACTCAAAATATCTAGACGGATACTTTGATGGCAAATGCAGGATACTGACCTCGTCGACTTTCAATTCTTTTTGGTTAAATATGGCTTTAGAAGCGAGATTGTTCAACGACTTACAAGTAATTTTAAGAGTGGCCAATCGAGGTTTTCGTCGAGAAACCAAAGATTAGCCGAAGATTAGCCGAAGATTGGCCGAGGCGGTAGGGAAAGAGTCTTTGATAGGTCGTAGTGTTCGTGCGCTCGTTCGTTCGCGAGCTATCGCAAGGCATGTTACATTATTCTTATGGTGTGTTACATGACGCCAGTAGTTAAAAAACATGATCATCATTCGGTTTTTTAACGCTCTTGTGAAAATTGTTTAAACCACTTACCACAATGGGCAGCCAACAGAGAGAATAAAAAAGAGCCATGAGACCTGTCAGATTGGACAGGATGATGGATTCCTTCTCTGCGCCAAACTGAGCCCTGATCTCCACTCCAACTGACCGGTCCATTTTCTTCAAAGCTCTTAACACTGACAGGTTCATGATGAGCATCAGAAGAATACAGAGTGAAAAATTGCAGACAAACGCATGTACTACGACTTCTTCTCGTAAACTTTGTGAATAAAGCGAGTACAAACAAATGGGTACTGGTTGCTTTGTGAGTTCGACTGTTTTTAATATAACGGGGAGACTCGCTAGTGCGCCTGCGTGTAGGAAGATGTACACAGTTGCTGATACAATTTTGCGAAATTCTATGAGTTGCTCGTAGTAGAAAGGAAAACACATGGCGATAAATCTTTCCGCAGACATAACCAATGTTATCATAACTGTCATTGTCCCGAAGAACAGCAAACATAACGTGCTCACTGAACAACCGACTTTCCCCGCAGGCCATTCACCTGTCAGATAAGCAACCGCTGTCCAAGTGTACCCGGTAAGCGCCAAAAGAATTCCCATGAGTGCCTGAAGGCCCATTAGTAAATCATTATACTTCTTTCTGCTGAATGACACTTTTTTAAATACAAGCAAATAATAGGCGGCTATGGAGTTTATCAATACAGTCACAAATGCATAGACGATCGTGCAAACGCCTAGAATGAAATTTTGTTTGATTTCGTAATCTCTGCTGTGGTTTTCTGATTTGGTTTCCATATCTCAGAAATCAAGCAAGCCTCTGTGCTGTTCCTGAAAATTAAAAAAATGGCAACTGATATAATTTTCTGAATATGTTAAAAAATGCAATATTGGTATGGATAGCTTAGATTTATACTCTACACATTAAATTTCAAAAACACAAAAATTCAAAATGAAGGCCATGTTTTCGTGAATTCGAAGATCGTTTGACATAAAGAGCTGAATAGTAAATATCGTCGGTTGTTTGGTCCTCTGAGCCGGAGAATGAGTGAACACCACGATCTCGCACAATTTCATTTTCGATTCAAGTAGGGCTATAGGGTATAGTAGGGCTTCACGTTTTGAAACGTACGAGATTTCACGTTTTCTTTGTCCTTTTAAAATATCTGGCCTTTTATATCTACATAATCTAGATTCTCCAGTAGTAACTGTCAAATGAGTGTTTCACGCTGTAAGGGTTGATGGTGAATTTATCAAATGGCACAACTGACCTTCTTGGTTACAGGGCCATGAGTGTCGATGAAAACCAAAAGGTTTAGAAACGATTTGCGGAGGAGCTGCCTTCACGGAGTCTGTCTACGTTAAAAGCACTCTAAGTGAGCCGCATCATGTTGCCACCTGTAAATCAACGTATTTCTGCCTTTATTCAAAAGTACACAAAAGTGCACAAAAGACACTAGCTATCTGGCCGAAAAAACTATATCATGAATGAATGAAGTAAAATCTTAAATTAAGTTTAGGAGATTAACAAAAAATGATTAGGGAGAATACGTCACACTGTCGATAATTTCGAACGGCTTCTAAATGTAAAGAAACGAAAGCACTACTGGATTAAACCTGCAATTATGGACTCGGGTAGATTGAAAAAAGACTTTTCTTTTCTTTCATCTCTGAAAAACATCAACGTGATAAAAATATTGAATATTGACCAAAGTACATGACAAAAATTGTGGGTTTAGTACAAGGTAAAGGTGAATTTTGGATAAACAAAGATAGAACCCTGCTCTAAAATAGATTGAAATTACTATCGAGATGCTACGAGGGAATTAAGATATCAAAATTACGACTTTCATTTCGTGTTGTACAGAAGTCTTTCTTTCCACCAGAATTACCCGTCAATAGATCGTTTATTAACAATGAATGTTTCCTCTCAACAACATATTACCAAAGAAGTTCATAATCAGAATGGATTTCCTAACTGCTTCGTAGTTTTACACCTTTGAATATTTCAGAAATCCTGAACGTAAACAAAAGTTATTTTTTAGTTGTCATTCAAATTGGACAATTTCTTTCAATATGAGCCTTTCTGTTGCTTTCATTACTGCATTTTCGCAGATGCTTTTAAAGCGTGATCGGCTCTCTTTTAGTCTATGTAGATTTTGAAAATTGTGATTGAAAACCGAAAGATCTCTCTCGAGGCAGGATAAGAAACGACTAAAACGTAAATGATTATTTTTTTCATAATTCGATGGGAAATACATAACAGATGATACAATCCAGAGCTGAACAAGTTTTCGAAGTTATAACTAAAAAAATCAGATAAACATACAAACCCTTCATATTAGAAGCATTCAGAAGCTGGAAAACCTGTCTGAATTATCTACAAAAACCGAAATAAAATTAGCTGCCGGAAAACCGTAAAGCCGTCCACAGTATGGCGCATCAGACAAGCTAATAACAAAAAACTGAAAATCACTTTTTCATTCTTAGCACCGAAGACTTTGAGGTAAAAAGGGAAAAGCTAAAAAAAAAAGAAACAATGGATATTTAGACGAAAAAGTGATCATTTTGAGTCCAAAGATCGACAAACCTTACCTCAAAAATCAAATTACCGAAAAAAGAACTCTCTTTCATAACAGCTTTTAAAGCTACCTCCTGAAATGTAAAATAATTTGTTTACCTTTATTTTTATTAAGTTGTTTCTCTACTGGTAGAAATGAAATTACTGTTATGATCGGCGATTGGATTTACGTCACAAGTTTTGTGCTCCGATAAAATTCACCAACAAACAATATGCTTTCAGTGCTCGCTTCCCAACTTTAACATCTAAAATGTTACGTTACAGTATCGCTTAAAATGCGACATGTCGCCATCGAATTAATTACTTTGACGAGAAATAGTAGAGAGCATAAATTGGAATAAATCTTCCCTAAAGAAGAAACTAACAGAGGCTCTTGACTGGACAGATTTACAGTTATATATTTTTTTCCTTTCGTTATGTGAAAATGCCATCAACTGGCTTTGTTCACATCAGCATATCGAACTTTTAAGGAAAGCATCATTACATGACCTATTGCCTCCAATGTCGAAAGCTGTTAACGAAAATTGCACAAATTTGCCGGATAATTTAACTAAGTTCCGGTATATTTTCATTGACATTAAAAGATGACTAAATGCGAAGTTTGCAATAAATTTATGCTTTTCTACGACACAACGAAATTTAAGGATCAGACCACTAATCCCTAGCCATCATTTGTACAACTGGATTGTCTTAAACTCTCATACAGAACGAATCGACAAAAGAAGAGAATTTATCCGCAGGGACACAAAAATGATGTCAAGAGATAATACTTTGTACTTGAATGGCAGTCTGGCTCATGAAGAAAAACTCCGTTATAGAACTAGCAACTAATCGTACTTACATAGGTTTGGTCGCTTTTTGCAAAGAGACAGAAGGAGAGAAGCGAAGATGGACGTCAAGTAAGAACTTATTTACCTATGACGAACTCAACCTTCATTTGCAAGTTTAAGTACCATTTAACTCTTCTTAAGAGAACTTGGCTAAATTCGCTCAATTATTGAAAACGCCACTTGAAATATTTTCCCAATAGAAATAATTTGCTGCTGGCGTCATTCCCGCTTTTTTCAATTGTCATGTCAGTACAATGACTTGTATATTACTTTTACTGAATTTGTATGTGTGTGCACTCTGATTGGTTTAAAAGTGTTTGCGTGGTAATTTTGTATTGTTTGTATGTCAGACGTGAACTCATACGAACTCCGTGTATTTACAACGCTTGAGACAGCCAAAGAGAAATTAAAATTGATCTCTCTCTTGTGGTGGGTGTTTAAAAAAAGGTGAAGCTTCAGCAAGGATTGATGCGTTTTCTTCTTCCCGTGCTCGTGAAAAATTAATTAAACATCATTTTCCATGTTACACTAACAACATCACCTTTATTGTAACCTCAAATTTGAACAAGCTATGGTCATTAATGATTGACTCACCTGGCTAATAATGATCATGATAATTGGAGGGTACCAGGAGCCTGAAATAACTAATCAGCTGAAAATGACAGGTAGCTGGATTAGGTTAATGTTATAGCGTGGGTACAGCATGGTCAACATCCACTCAATTTGTACAGACATCATATATGCAAAAACAAAGAATTATGATAACGTATTCAACATTACACAGTAAATAGTTTTCGACTGACAACAACCATTCACTTGACTCGGGTGATGACCTCCGCTCAGGTTGTCGAAACGTCAGTCACCACTACCAACAACAGTCCTTCTAAGGAATGCACTCACCCGGACGATCAAACTACGCTATTACATATTTAAAATTCTTCGAAGATCAAATAGGGGCGAGTTTTTCATTCTCGACAAATAGGGTATCTTTTATTGTAATGAAAAACAACGCATACACAACGAACATAAAAGAAACATGAAGGTGAAAAATATCAGTAGTTTGTCAGACGGTCAAAATGAGCGCCCCCTTGTTACAATCGCTCTGCTGGCTTGAGCCGAGCTATGATGTATACATATCGTTGCTTCACGTGACACATGTGAGATATATACATATATTTAAACACTCGCTCTTGGTTCCTGATTTTCTATTTTCCAATTCTGTTGTGTTTTTAGTATGGTATGGTACAGATGCCATCAAATTATCCCAGCCAAACCCAATGTTAGCTTCACAGTTACGAGCAACAAAGGTTATCGTCTATCACGTTCTTTCCTCTTGTTCACAGCTTACGTGGAGTGATATGCTTTAAGCCGTTTCGTGTTCATCTATGAATTAATAAAACCAAGATAAAACTATCCTTGTTGACAGCTCTGAGCACATGATTGTTGAACTATTCTGAATCGTACACAGTAAATGGTTTGAACCACGAGACCACAAGACCACGAGACTCTTCATCTTCTCCGGCAGAAGTAACAGTTGTTCATATCTGAATCTGCCTATTACCCATGCCTCTCTCAGGTAAGACAATAATGGCCCTGTTAATGGCCCATGTTCTCTCGCGATTCTCGCTCGTCGCCAATCCCCCGTGTTTCCTTGACCGTTAAGTGCCTTTGAAGGAGAAAGAGATACCCTCTCAAGTGAACCAGCTTTCCCGAATTTTTCCTACCACTCGAGTGTTTAGATGAGTTTATCCTGCGGAAAATGTGCACTAAATCCTTTATTGCTCATAAAACTAACACCAAAGTTTCTGTTTCCTTAAACGATTCTAGATGAACTTGAATGCATGATTAAAAGCAAAGTTACCAAAGCTTTTCTGATGCTTCTAAAAGCCGATTAAATGGAAAAGTGAAACATTAGTCAGAAGATAGGACTGTTTAAAAGTGTGCATCAATATGCTGATGTATTTAAAAGTGTCCTTTAGTTAAGTTACCAGCAAGATTATCTCTGTCACTGAAACGGCAAAGTTTGACATCATTAATTCTTGACCAGCAAGTGTACGTTCAAATTTGAGTTTCAGATCATTCGTATATCACTGAGACCCGTTTAGCAGTGTCGAAGAAAAACTGTATTTATAGTACTACGGGATAATTTTATATTATTAACTGACTTGATAACGTAAATTGGCCACCGTCAAGAGTTTAAAAGCTAACGTTTCGAGCGTTAGCCCTTCGTCAATCGCTCTGACGAAGGGCTAACGCTCGAAACCTCAGCTTTTAAACTCTTGACGGTGGCCAATTTACGTTATCAACTCAGTTGATAATACTAGATTACCCTGTTATATTTTCCCATCGACGCAGCACCACAGCTTCTTTAGAAACTTACCCCTTTACGTATTTAGTACAATTTTGTGCTGAAATTATAAAAACGTCACTTTTTGGCTAAAGAAGATTTAAAGTCAACAGGCCTTTTGCCCTCTAAGTGGGTGTAAAAATTAGTCTGATCGTAAATCAGATCGTAAACACTTCATAGCGGGCCACAATATAATTCAAGCATCCGTAATGGAACATGTACGCTTTAAGACACATCTATTTAACACAATCTCAACAGCCTTTTTAAAGACTAATATCTTCTTCATTGTCATTTTTTTCTTTACACCAACGAGAATTATATAAAACGCACGAGTGCTACTGGCTTGATCTTGACTGATGTGTACACTGTCTTCCTATAACTTTAACAGTTAAATCTTTTTTAGTATTTTGTACGGGTAATTCTGATCGAATATGCGGATTTTTATGGTGGCAAGGAAACAAAAAATCAACCTTTAATTCAGCAGCGCTGGCGAATGATTTCCATTCTTTGGGTGTCAGTGTTCAGTTTGTTTGTTTGGGAATGCTTTTCATTATGAAAAAAACAACTGTTTGTAAAGTGTTAAAGACCGGAAATTTTGAAAACGTGAATTGTGTTGATACACTCCTCTACAGTGCATGTTTAATATTCTTACGTATACTTAGGTTAGGAAAGCCAATTCCACCCTCAAGCTTGGCTTCGAAAGTGTTGACTGAATTTTTAAGAAGAAAGTATTTCTATCCATTAACTTAAAAGTAAAACAACATTAAAATCACAACAGGGTGGCAAATGCACGAGAAAAATGTGGCGTAAATGAGGCTTGAGATTGAAATTTCAGCAAATATCTTACCTGAGCGAGGTTATTGTTTTATTGTGAACTGGGTCTTTCTCAGGCGTTAAAATTTTTCTCACAGTATTGAATGAAAGGTGTTAATCTTATGAAACTGTGCAGAATTTTTCTTCTATTTACTTATTTTACTCCTGTTGTTGGTCTCAGTTGAAGGAAGCTCTGCCGGGAGATGCCTGAAGCAAGCCAAGCTCGGATAAAAATTCGTTTGAAGGTTTGCTTTCATATCAGTACATCGTAGGCACTCAGTAACTGAATACAATCTAATCCAGTATATTGTTTTGTTTAGGATAGTCTTATTTTGTAGACAAGGCTGAAACTAAAGCGAATTTTTAGATTTTTTTTTTGTTTTAAGCATGGGATGTTCTTGGGAGCGCTCAAGTATCGAATGTTCCTCAATAGCATGCTATTAACATTTGGGCAATTTCAGCTTCAAAGTTCCAACGAAAAAAGGTTCTTTTTGAAAAAAAGGTATCGCCAAGATCCTTTAATTTCCTACGGCAAGCTATAATGAAAACCGAAATATCATATCACTTATTCTCTAACACAAATGTTTCTTCAGTAGGACGTACAAAGATACAATTTACTCTTTCGATGCCGGTCCCATTCGTAGGCTGTAAGAAGTGGGAAAATGTCTTTGAATTTGACAAGTCAATCGTACTTGTCGTCTAAAAATTTACGGTTATCTAGGGCTTCTAAGGACTGCCCCGTGCTCTCCCCACCAATCTGGTCTGAAAGGGACTGGAATTGAAACAGAAGAGAGGGGTTTGGGGTTGCCATGCTACCGCAGCTGTGTTAAGTTTTATTTCATTCAGTTCAGATTTTCATTACATCTTCGTAATCTACTTTGAACAAAGTGTTACTACTGCTGCTTTGGTAAAAACGTGGTCTTTTTTCATATTTCAGCTACTTAAGTACCCTTGCCAGATGAACATGGTTACTTTTGTGATTGGACTGATCTTTGTTCCCTGTCTGTCCATGTCCATGTTCATATCTCCGCCCATCACGTCCCCCGTCCCCCATCCCGTCTCCCATCCCGTCCCCCATCCCGTCCCCCGTCCCGTCCCCCGTCCCGTCACCAGTCTCGTCCCCCATCACCGGCCCTGCATGGTAACCGCTGGTCTTGTTTGCCGTGATTTAAATCAATACCGCTCCCAGAATGGTGAATGTAATAATCTTAAGAATCCACGCTGGGGCGCAGCCATGACCGCCTTCAAAAGACTATTACCAAACAGCTACCAGAATAAAATATCCTTGCCGAGGTACTTGAAGGTAATTACTTTTCAGAACTATATATTCCGCTTGACTAACAAATAAGTTTATAGGAACCAAATACCATGAACAGATCAGATAAATTGGGAACGTAATTGACTCTCTGTAACTTCAAATAACTTGGCTCTGGTCTAGTTAACTCGATGGGCAAATGTTAACAAGGGGGATTAGTCGTTATCCACCGGCGGATAAGTGCCAGCGAAACAAATTAACGGATTGCGGAGTTACCACCGGATATCCATCGGGTATACACCCGATATTCGCTAAGTAACCACCAAATAGAGAAACATATTCCAATTCCCTTCATAGAACACTAGAAATACTTATTATTAAATAGACAAATATTATCTGTTCTGTTTACCTACGCGTTAGACAGCAATCTACTTGAAAGATAAATTATTTAATTGTATGCATAATTGCATAATTGTTCTTACTTTTAGAAATTAATAAGACTGTTTTGCGCAGCTTCTGCTATGGTTTTAGAGGGGTTTGGCGTCAATTTTTGAACTGCATTTCTCTCTTACAGACAGATTCAAGTCCTTCCACCTTGTTTCCAACCATAGCGCCGGTCAGTCCTCTGCCAAACGCAAGGACCGTCAGTCGAATGTTTTTTCCTCAAAGTCAGAACCCAGAGTCACCATGGCAACAGTCACCCCAATCCCCACAACGCACAAACATGGCGTCTGTGTTTGGTCAATTCCTTACGCACGATATAATTTTGACATTGCATGACGGAAATGAAGTCTGTGACGACCGGTGTAGTGATCTTACCACAGAATGCTTCGGGATCACCATCGCAAACATATCAAACGACCCTGTTTTCACTGAATGCATTCCAATGACGCGCGCCTCAAGGTGTCAGTTTAAGGGTGTACAAGAGCAAATTAACAGTGCCACTGCCTTCATAGACGCCTCACAAGTCTACGGAAACAACGAGGAGGAAGTGGAAAGAGTACGCGATATAAACTCACTGAATGGTCTTCTTCGCACAACCTGTCATAATGAGGCCGTTAAGCCACTCTTACCTCAGCTACAAGCTGATGATCCTAAAGTATTTTGCCGCTCATACAGCAATAAGACTCCCTGCTTTTACACAGGAGACTATAAAAGGAATAATGTTAGTCCAGGTTAGTCAAGTGACATGGGTGTTTCACAGCTTTCTTTAACCTGCATCATTAGGATGTAGTCTCTGCTCCTGTCACTAAGAGCAGTTTTCGTTTGATTGTTGAAATTATTCCTTGATTGCGCTGTGATTGGCCTACAAAACTCTCACCACCTTCTTTACTAAACAAAACAAAACGAAAGCCCTAATCCATACTACGTCGCTCAGATAATTTAAAAAACAGCTATTTTGGTCTGGAAACCTAAAGAAAGTTTTCCGTTCATACTGGAAAACGGAAAGAAAGGAATGTTCTCCGTCCACGATAACCGGGGAGGAAAAGCAGGACTGCACCCTAGCTAGAGTAGGGAAGTAAAAGTGCAGTAAAATGGGGTATCAGATTCGATAATGACTCGCAGCAGTGTATCCTAAAGTTAATCCCAATTTCCCTTATCATCCTGAGCAGCATATGGCAGTTTGCGGCCTTTCCCTACATTTAGCAGTTCGGAAAGCCGCAAAACTCTAGAACAAAAATTTATCTTTCAAATCGGTACCCTTAATCCCCACGTTATCAAAGGGCGCTTTCCATTCAAATAAGTTATTTTTGTTTTTTTCGTCACCATATTCCTACCAATAGCGTAGCTCCATTTTTTGCATATAAACACACGCACACAACCCACAATTTCTCCATTCGATCTGACGAAAGGCTAACGCTCGAAACGTCAGCTTTAAAGCTCTTTACGGTAACCAGCTCTGTTGATAACACTAAATTACCCTGTTGTATTCTCCCACCGACGCAGCACCATGGTTTCTTGTAGAAACTTACCCTCTTTACTCATTTATTTAACAGTTGTGTGTGCAACACGTTTTAAAAACATGTACTTTGCAAGCACGTAAATGTACTCTGATTCGGAGCGCGGAATCCGAAGGTGTGAGGTTCGATTCCTAATGGGGACTCGGAATATTTTGCTTTGTTCCACGCTCGTGACGAGACGGAAAACATCTTCCTTTAATCATGTACTTTCTTCTCTTTTGTCTCCTAAAGCTTTAGCTGCCATGCACACTATTTGGGTGAGAGAACACAACAGGATTGCCTTAGAACTGCGTGAGATAAACCCCCACTGGGATAAAGAACGGCTTTTTCAAGAAACAAGGAAAATCATAGGAGCTATGATGCAGCATATATCATATAGCGAGTACCTCCCAACTATACTCAGTAAACAAATGGTAAGGTCTTTGTTGAAACTGTAACAATACCACGAATTTTTTTTTTGTTTAAATCCATCTGTTTATTTGACGGGGTATGTGTCATGTCTTAATTTTTAGTGAACTTTTCAATTGATCGTCGTGAACCCAAACTCGCAGTGATCACCTACGCTAAGAAGTAAGAACGAAGAGCTAATGAGAAACGAAATTAAGAACAGAAAAAACGCCTGATTGGTTGAAAAGGATGCGTGCGTTTCATGGACCAATCACAAGCGCAATGACGATTATTTTGACATTCACCTGAAAATTGCCGAAATAATGACGTCACTTACGTGACTCTTTCCGTTTACTCCCTTTACGTTATCATCAGGACGCAAAAGTGTTCTGAATTTTTCTGAGATTTTCGAAATAACTCTGATATTGCTCTTTTTGATTAGTTTACTTTGCTGCGTGATTAGCTTAGAAAACTCGTGCCACTTTGTTAATCACTAGGATTCAAAACTTTTAAGTTTTGGAAGTTTCAATTGCTTTAAAAATCAATTCCAACATGCTCTTCAGGCAGTTTCAATTCTCATTGGTTACTTCTGATATTTTCCTCTCTTCTGATTCGCTGTTGTGATTACTTTGGTTTTACGTCACTCAGTCGATATAAGCTCTTTTTCTATGACAAGTCTCAAAACGAACTCGTATGATTGCAACAAAAAATTCCAACAATTGTAAATAGAATAATCGTACTGTTTTTAACAGCTTCAAGATTACGAACTGAATCCAAACCAGCCATGGAAATACGACCAATTCGCTGACGCCTCCATTGCGAACAGCTTTGGAGCCGCAGCGCTAAGGTTTGGTCACAGTACTGTTGGCAATATGTACACAAGGCCTGATTTCTTTGATATGCCCATAGACGATATGCACAACCCGACTCCTCTGTACAATTTACAGCAGGGAGGTGTGGATAGTATCTTGAATGGAATGCTGGAACAATCTGCCAGGAAAATTGATAGGTAACATTGAATATATTGTAACTGAAACAAGACCACGAGTTACCTCAGTCTTGGTTGGGCTCATTTTGTTGTGTTCTTGAGCGACACACTTCTTTCTCCCTCTCCACTTAAGAGTATGAAAGGGTACCGGTCTTGATATGGATCTGACGAAATGCAGGGGGGAAGGGGAAGGGCAATGTGGGCTACTTGGCCCCAGTGCAAAACTTCTATGGCATTGAAATTTGTAGCGGGTATAGTTTGGAAAACCTGTTCCTCGGCTTGGCCTGTGATATGTTTCTCAGCCTTTTTCGGCCTTCAAAAGAGTGTTGTGTTTGTTCAAAAGGGTGCTATGTTTGTTCAAAAGGTTCTTTTCATGGGCGTTAACAATGAAATTAAAGCCTGGACCGGGAGTCACCGCTGATCTTGTAGCAATAAATATCCAGCGAGGCAGAGACCATGGCCTTCCACCATATGTCAAGTTCAGGGACCACTTTAACGTGAGTAAAAGAAGCATTCCAAACGAGCTCAAGTCTGAGCTGATAAATCTGTATGGTGATCTTGACGATGTGGATTTGTATGTTGGTGGACTCCTGGAAACCCCTGTTGCAGACGGGGCAATGGGGCCGACCTTCTCTCACATTTTAGCCGAAGGATTCAAGTAAGTGCCTAAATGTACTAAAATTTTTCATTGTTTATGTGGTGTAAAAAAAATTGATACAAGTGCGACGGTGTGGCGTGAGGCGCATACTTTTCCAGATGAAATAACAACTGGACGTGATCAAGGTTGGGCAATGCTTTAATACCTTCTTTATTATTTTAGGTTTATTAGCTAAAGGTGTTTGCTCTGAATTAATAGCAACCCTAACGATTGTTGATTATCGTATGGTAATTATCGTATGTGCAAAACAACGGTAGTCTCATTAAGTAACTGTTCAGGTGGACGTAAATGTTTAGCTGGGGTGATTTTGGCTTCGCTTGACTTCGCTCAGCGACTTACGTTTCCCTCGCTTCGGGCAGTTTGCTCGTGTTTACTCTGAGTTCTCGTTCGCTCTCTGTGGTACCTGCCCTTGCGCTTTGCTCTGACTTGCCGTTGTGGTTCCCTAGGTTAGGATTTACTACACTCAACCGAATATCGATAGCCTATAGGAAGGTAGTGCATTTACAATTTTCGAGGTAATTTTTCTCTTTTTAAGAAATCTGCGAAAAGGGGATCGTTTTTGGTACCAAAACTTGGACTCGCCAACCGGATTTAACTCTGATCAACTGAAGGAGATAAGGAAAGCTTCTCTTGCTAAAATCATCTGCGACAACAGTGATGCGATATATAGAATTCAGCGCATGGCCATGTTAAAAGAAGGTTCGGGAAACGAGAGAATGCCCTGTGCTCAACTTCCTTATGCAGATCTCAGCAAATGGAGAGACGAGGTAAGGATACGGTTCGGTCTTGTATAGGTTTTCCAATAATATATAACTCTTGAAGTCCAGCCATTCCTGACTACTCCTCTCCCGCTTTCCCGTCATTCCTTTCTCCCCCACTTCAGTGCCATGCACCTTTAGGTATGTACGAGTCAACAGCCTTCCCCCATCTCGCTGTGGGATGTGCCATAAGCCAAGCTACAGAGAAATCGTTGGTGAGTTAGGGACCCAAGCCCCTTCAAGTTCATGCCCGTGCCAAAATTATCAGAAGACCATTTCGTAAAATAGTGGTACAAAGATAATATCTTCTGATTCAATTATGAAATCCGCACGCATAGGGAAACAGCTTGAACACTGAGGCTGAAAGGGAAAGTGGCATGGAACAAAAAAAGAGGAGGGAAAGTGAGACAGGTCAATTAGTAAGAGAGGGAAGTGGACAGGAGGAACACGATGCTGTGAAGGATGCAACCTTGAAGGACGTAAGGAGACGATTTTCTTCTTTCTTCTTTAGGCTGGGTGGGGTGGGGACATCCATGTAAGTTTACCAACATTACTTTCGGAAAGTCTTAAACCAAAGCTGCCCGTGAAACAAAGCATTGGATGTCTATATCTAAAACAAAACGGTTTGTTTAAAGATAAATTCAACATGCAATGTGAGGTCTCTTCCTATTCTCCCTTGTTTTCGATTAGATTGGCCTATAACCAGGCGGGAGGGAGGGGAGGGATGGGGGGGAGGGATGAGAGGGAAGGGATGAGAGAGAAGGGATGAGAGAGAAGGGATGAGAGGTCCTTCAACTGGGATTTTTTACAAAGGCACCGAGCAACTAGAAATATTCAGTTTCGATTAGTCTCGAAACATGGAGAATTTACCTCAATGAACGATAATTTCTTTCCAGGTTAAAATGGAAAGCCAATTCTTTTTGGAACAGATCATTGTAAGTGATACCTTTGCACAGAATAGCAGAGGTCAGAATGTTACTGATAATAGCCCTGAGTTTGAATATTTCTTTAACATTTGATTGTAGTCGTTAAATACTGATGCGGCGTAGGTTCTGTATTTTCTTCATGGGTTCGAGAGTGATTCGTGCAATTTGACGGCTAATAAAGAAGAATATACGAAATAAACTAGAAATTTTCAACTATATTACAAGGGATCGTAGCCGAGCTCGGTAAGAAGACTTGGCAACTGTCACTCTATAGCCTAAAATACGTCACTTTTGAGACAAAAATTAAAACTTCCAGAAATGTCGGAAAAGGGGAAGGGAAATCATTATCAAATGACTGTGCATCACAGGTCATTACCACATTCGGGTCAACCAATGATGATTATAAATGAAGAGCACCAATTCATTTATATTCAACATCGATCTAGTCGTCTTTCTTCTAATAAAGTCTTTATTCCACAGTTGAAATAATTGAGGTATTTCGTTTATATTTCGTGTTTTACATGCAAGAATAAGACATCTACACCCTTTTAATTGTAAGTGACATATTTTTGCTCAAAATCCTTAGAACAGAGACATTTAACTGATAATGCTGGATCACGATTTAGTGGTTTAACAAATTCTGAGGATTGCACTTTTTTCTCTCGAAGATGGGGAAAAGCAGACCATAGAGAAAACAGCTGAAAACGGGCGAGTTGCAGAGTTCAGTGGGACGGCAAATGACAAGGAAACTAGCTACATTCTGATAAAAGTCATCATTTTTGCACGGCACTGTTTCAAACGTATATTCATTAAACCTTTGACAGATTTCACTGTTGTCTTTTCTACTATTAAGTGCCTTTTCACAAACTTAATCAACTGGGGTCTGAGAGATAAGTTACCAGAGGAGCCCTTCGTATATACTGCCCCGCCCTGGCCCTCCTCCTCCTCTCGAGGCAGGTGAGGTGACGATCCAAACTTCCTGACCGTAAACTCGGACATTGTTGAAATTCCTGATCGCCAAATAAATTATTTAAGAACGTTGCCGCGGTATTTATTTTTACGCCTAGATATTCTGTTTGTTTCTCTCCGGTCCTCCGAGATAAATGGCATAAGTTTGACTCAAGACGGTATCACGCCATCACCAGAGAGTAAAATATTCAGACAGTAACTGCCTAAGTTAAAGAACGCGATACCTTTCTCAGCGACCTTAGACTTTAACAGTTGACCTTGAATCACTCTCAAAGGATAATTTACGCATGTTCCATTAACGTACCAGCAGCGATGTCGATTGACGGATACGATTATGCTCAATGCAAATAAAGTCAGCGCCTTGTACTTTCCATGGAAATAAGACCAAAGCACCTCACTTCTTTTTCCTTCGTAAACTCTTAAGTTTCTCTTTCCAATAATATATATAACTCTTGGTGTCCAGCTATTCCTGACTGCTCCTCTTCCTCTTTGCCGTCATCCCTTTCTTCCCCACTAAAAGTTCCTCGCTGCCATCTATGCCAGATAACAGTGTTAAGGGATTTCTCATTATTCCTTAATTATGACACGTTCTACAAAAGGATCTTGTACTTTTCTGCTCTTGGAACTCTGTTTATGACCAAACGTCCATCATATGACAGTGATGCAAACACCCAAGGGTCAGCGGTTGACCACTCCACAGCATACACGCTATCCTCGTGTTCATCAAATGTTGCTATGACTCCATCTTTTACCGGTTCTCTGGACCTGGGAAAAAGAGCAAAACTAACGTCATTTTTTCCTTGCGAGCAAGCAACTGTTTGGGATAACACACGCTGCCAACTTGGGTAGCCAAGTTGCATTATATATGTTTCCTGCTAACAGAGTCAGCCACATTGCATGCTCTGACAAGCCACACCTGCAATAAAGACTTACCCCTTGTCTTGTAAACCTTCGTCTTCATCTTCCTCATCCAGATGACCAAATGGCTCCGATGACAAAGACACAATGTTGTTTAGAATAACCCTGCTGTCACTGCTTGATGTCAGTAAAAGTTGATCATGGAAATGATTAAACCGCACACTCCACACCCTGAAAAGAGCAGCAAACACTTAGTCAATCAGTTTCAGTTTACAAGAGCTATTCTATCGGTCAGTCAGTCAGTCAGTCAGTCAGTAAGTCAATCAGTCAACCAGTCAACCAGTGAGCCAGTAAGTCTGCCTATCTGTATGTCTGTCTACCTGTCTAACTGTCTGCCTGTCAGTAAGTGTCCTAAACAGTCACAATTGCTCAGTTAGTGAGTATTAGTAAGTCTGAGTGTTAGGCAGTCAATCAGTCAGTGAGCCAGTCTGTCTGTCTGTCTATTAGTAAGTGTCCTAAACAGTCACAATTGCTCAGTCAGTGAGTATCAGTAAGTCTGAGTGTTGGGCAGTCAAACAGTCAGTGAGCCAGTCGGTCTCTCTGTCTGTCTGTCTGTCTATCTGTCTGTCAGTAAGTGTCCTTGACAGTCAATAGCTCAGCCAGTGAGTATCAGCAAGTCAGAGTTTTAGGCAATCAATAGTCATTTCAGTGCATGATATGACCAGGGACCATTCACCCTTCTCCTCACCAGTGTGAATGATCTTGTAATACCATCAGAGGGTCAGTAGTGTTCCTTGTGTCCCAAAACCGCATTTTGCAATCATCACCACAACTGACAAGTATGTATTGTTTGTTTGGATTAAAGTCCAAGTCACGCACTAACTGGTTATGTGCACTCTCAATTGTGTAAACAGGCCTGGAATGAAAATAACAACAACATTTTTAATTGGCAGAGCATAATATTGGGTGAGGTTCTTAACAGTTTAGTTTTGTGGTGACACTTATACAATAAGAATGATTACCAAGTGGAGAAATATTAAGATGCTTGTTGGATGTTTTTGTGTCATTTTGTTATGTCCCTGTGTTGGATTCAGGTTGGCCCACACACGAGGGTAGGTAGGTAGGTCATTCAAACATGATAACGTGATAACTTCATGTGGTTCAATTACTGGAAATTGCCCATGCTCCCACTAATGGTCTGACTTGTGATTAGAGTCAATTTATGGTAAAAGAACAGGAACAGAGTGTGAAAAAAAATATTGCCAAGTTAAGAAAAGCAAACTTACCTCATTGTCCTCACATCCCAACCTTTAATAGTTGTATCATTTGCAGTGGCAATCTGAGAACCACTGTGGTGAGGGTTCCATCGCCCTGTTGTGAACTTGGGTTGACCTTTACCCTCCAACAGAGCAGAGTCAATTGACTATGGAATTAAACAAAGGTGGCCAATAAGTCCCTCATTTGTCTCCAGTGCCACTGCTCACCTTTACACCTTTTAAATTTGAATTGGCAAATGATTTGAAAGGCAAGGATGGTGCAGAAGGATTCAGCCTGGGTCCAATTTCAGGGCATGGCATTTCATTTGGGTTAAGCCTGTTGTTGATTCTTTTCCTTGCTCAACGGGGTTTTCTTTGTATTCCTCCTTCCAAAAAAGCCAACTCTTAAATCTCAGTTTAACTTGAAATCAGTGGAAAAGAATCACTTCCTGAATGAGCCTTTGCTGAGTGCATTATTTCAATTCATTTTTTGTTCTTTTCAGGAGATGGGGGAAGGGGGAATGATTGTGTGATCTGCTCACATTCTGACCTTTATAGCTACCACTTCATTCCTATTACTGCTTGGTTCATTAGTTCTTTTTTGTTGTTTTATTTATCACTGAAATACCTCTGCAGTTGATGCACTTCTGTCCAGATCCCACAGGTCTAGATGTTGTTCACAAACAGTTACAACTTGGCTTCCATCACCAGATGGATTCCACAACACACTAGAGGAAAAATAAATATAAAAGTAAATTCTTCTCAGAAAAGTAAGAAAACAAACAACATGGAACCATTTGGGTGAAAATAAACTTCAAGTACATGTGTTCAATTGTATGGCAATCTTGCCTTAATTTTGTTGACAAAAATTTCTCCTCATTCTGCCCTAACCTAGGATCAAACTTGTATTTGACACCCCTTCTAAATACTCAACATTCCCCTTGAAAAATAGCTAGTGCTATTATACCCACCCCCTAGCCAAAGTAGACCTCTAAGATAGAAATAAGCCCAAGGAAATGAATAGAGCAGTTACATTGTGTGAACCAACCTTCTCATATTCTCATGTTTGTTGTCAAAATTGCAGATAAGTTGTAATGATCGAGAATATCCACTGCCAGGGGAGATTCCAGGTGAGTCTAAACCAGGGGGCTCTGTGTCATCTACTGGGGGAATCCTCCATAGAGCACCATGTATTTCAGCTTTTGACTCAGACACTGGATCATTAGAAATACAATAATTACTTGTTTTGAAAAATGTGCCATAACTTAATAGAGAAGTATGTTTATGAGACATTGAACAGTTATTAAACCTCTGTGCTGCTAATGCTCTCAATATACATGTAGATGAAATGTTCTGTATACTCAATGGGCAGCTTATTAGTCGCAAGTGTATGTTAGTCCTGGAACACCAAATCACAATGATAGACATGTACTGTACATGAACTCTACTACTGTTATAATGAAGATAGCTGCAATGATTAAGTAAAAAAGATCTTACCTTCATTGTAACAAGTTGCCAAGAGAGTCTTATCTGTTGGACTAGTGTTCATTGACCTGAAATGTCAGAAATGGGAAAGGACCTTTAACCCTTTAACTCCCATGAGTGACCAAGACAGAATTTCTCCTTACAATATCAATACAATGTCAAGCAGACAAGTGATGAGAATGAAGAAAAATATCAATTGGGGGATTATAAAATGATACAATCCCAAATTCTCCAAACTAACATCACAAGAACTATATGGCAGACAGTAAGGAGAATTACTAATGAGATCTTGTGTTAAATGAAGAATTTTATTTCTGTATAGAACAGTAATAAGGAAGAGAACAATGATATCATATCAAGCTAAAGACTGGGAAATAAAAAATGCAAACTGCATTGATGCACTGAACTCACCATATTTCTCCAACAGAATGCATAAACACATTTTTATTGATAACATTGCTTTCATCATCAAAGTCTATCAGATGGATCTGGAATTATAAAATTCTAGCCTTTATTTCTTGGAGCAAATTTAACTTTAATTTTTAGCTTGTGTAAATAACCAGACCAACATAGAAAAAAAATAGCATAAAGATTCACCTGATTTTCATATTTAAGTGACTGAGTTCCAACAATGAACCTTATAATGTCTGTTTCCGCATGCTGGGGGACCAGAGCCCGAGCCTATAATCAAAAAAAGTAACCAGAAGTTAGAGTAATTAAGGAAAGCCTCTTTTCTCCCTCTCGTTAGGCATCGAATCCCTATTACCATTTTTTCATCATATTCACAACTACTACCAGAATAATTTCCCTCTTAGTATATATAAAATAGGAGAATTATATTATTGGATCTTTAAGGTAAATCGAGGAATTTCAAATTTTCATTGACGTGTGGGAAGTGACGAATATTATAGCATATTACCCTATTAAAAAAGAGATCGCCTAATTTTATCCGGGAATTAGAAGTAATCACACGAATAATTAAATGCATAATTTGAATGATGCTTCCTCTCCTTAATTTGAGTCATCAAGAAGCTACTTACGTTCAACTCTAGTCCATAAATAACAGGGGAATCGTCCTCCATTTTGAATTTAGACAGAGGCCGCTGAAGGAAACCTCGTAGACTCAAGTTATTTCAGTTCCAGTTCGTTCCGCGTGGCTTGGAAAGCCTGTCACAACACATAACGTCACGCATAGCGATAAGTTATTTTCCGAGAAGCTTCCCAACTGTAATAGTTTCCTATTAATCATGTCGTCGTTTGCACCACCCAGCAAAAAGGCCAAACGATCACACAGTAATGGAGCAGCAGCTAAAAGTGATGGCGATTTTTTTCCAGGTAAAGTTAGATGTGCATTAATTTCAAGCTTAATAAATTTTTCACCCAGCGGTTTTCGGTAGGGAAGGTCCCAGTAAGTTACAAGTCTTGAAAAATTTAGTTAAATAAGCGGTTCAATTTCTTTTTTCTTGCACGAATCAGTCGTATATGTAAGATTATCTTCTTTTGTGCGTTTTGTATTTCAATAACAACAACAACAAAAACAGTATTGCGAAGTTGGATAAACTCGAGCAGTAGGGCGTGTGACTTATCTGTTTTTTGTACTAAATAATCTGAATTTGGAACCTTTCATTGTTTTGTTACAGGAATAAACAAAATTGAATACAAGCCCGATGGAGGTCCAGAAGATAATCTCTGCTTCAAACACTACAATGCTCAAGAGGTAGTGTCAAACGTTTCGATGGAGAATCCTACAGCTAGCCCAATCGCGGAAGTTTAAATGTTTAAGTTAGACCCTCGATCAGTAGAAACTATCGTCACAAATTCCTTCACAATTGAAACCGAACTTTTTCAGTTCTAATTTCCCTTAGCTATTATAAAGAAATGGCTCGAATAAGTTTTAATGTGTACATCAGAATGAGTGTGAAATGTGTGCTGATAAAAGAAAAAAACAATCCTTTAAGTTTGCGTGACATGACTAAATGTCACAATTTGTCAAATATTTTTTTGATTTTTTTAAATTTTATTCCCTTTTTTCTATTTTTGACTTGATATTAGACGACTGGTGATATAATGAGGTATTGACATGAATTGACTCTAATCAACAGGTGGTAATGGGAAAAACAATGGAAGACTGGTGCAGATTTTCAGTCTGTTTCTGGCATACATTTAGAGGCACAGGTAGGATTTTGAAATATATAGCGCACTGTTAATCTGGTTCCAAAAGAAATGTTTAATTTTTGTACCCAAACTTTTTCAGTGTTCTTGAAGACTCTGCCAATGTCTTAATGTTCAGATTGTTGGCTGACACTTTAAATAGGCAATTCATCAGTTTACCATCCTTTGACTCCTGGCCTTTTAATGTCAAGCTATCAGCTGACATATAAATTGATCATATATCTACTGATGTATTGCATGATGATAACTCTGATATATTTGTAAATTTTGTTGTTCTTGCTGCTCAAGAGACAAATATGATCATTGCCTGTGCTCAGTTATTGGACAAAGTGCAAAGCTTTTAACCACCCACCCTAGATAGGACCATTCAATACGCCTTGAGTGTTTCATATACACTTACATGGCAGTTTTAGTGCACCTGAGGGAGCAGCTACATGGTGGTCCTAGGACATTTGTAACTCCTCTTTTTATTGAAAAAAATTGCTAATTCATAATAAAAAGATAACCTTACATTCCCCCCTCCAATGCCAGTAAGATGCTAGTGTACTGTAACCTTACAAGAGAACCCCTTTCTTTTTCTGATTGACCCTTTAACTCTCACAATCTTATTGTTGATACTTTCCTCTTTTCCGCTACTTATTTCCCTGTAAATTAGTGACAAGAATTTGGTGGTCAAGTAAGATAACAACTTCTGCCCAACAAGTTTGAGTGTTCTCATTACCTGCTTGCCTGATGACATATAGACATTATAGGAAGAAGTTACATGTTAATCACTTCTGGGAGTGAAATGGTTAAGAGGAATTCATTCCTATCTACCTCTGGTATATTTAATAGCCACATTATGAAGCACGTACTTCAGTATAATTTAAAAAATTATTATTTGACCAGGTGCTGACCCATTTGGTTTCCCAACAATTTCAAGACACTGGGATGATGGAAGTAACAGCATGGAAAATGCAAAGAGAAGATTGAGAGCAGCATTTGAATTTTTTGAGAAACTTGGTGTGAAATATTACACGTTCCATGACAGGTAACTTGGTAACTCCTCGAAATTTTAATTACCAGCAAGTTAGCTTTCTAATGATTTAACTTCAGGAATGAATCAGGGAAAGCTTGAGTGGTATCTTTTATATTCTTTCTAGATTTGTAGAGTGGTGGATAGTCTGCATTTTAATTTTTTTTAATGTGTAGGGACATTGCCCCTGAAGGAGACGACTTGAAAGAGACAAATGCCAACCTAGATCAGCTTACTGATCTTGCCCTTGAGTTACAACAGAAGACTGGAGTTAAACTGCTCTGGGCAACATGCAACCTCTTTTCCAACCCAAGGTATTTGAAACTTTTTTTGGTCATACTTTTTACACCTTGGCATAGGTGTTCTTGGGCACAGTTTTCTACCCTTACAGCTCCTCCATTAACCCTGTCCAGAAAATGTGGAAAATTTCTGGAGGGAGTGGTGACCTGCAATGGACTAGTGATAGCAATACAGATCCTATTGGTCAAAGAAGCCAAGATAAGCCCCAGCAGTGATGCAGTACAAGGTTTACTAAGTCTAAGAATGAAAATTAATGAGTTGTGACGACTACTTTTAATAAGAAAATTGTGTTGTTATCAACAGGTATATGAATGGAGCAGCCACCAACCCTGATGCTCATGCATTTGCCCATGCTGCTGCACAAGTCAAGAAGGGACTGGAGATTGCTAAGAAACTCGGAGCAGAAAATTTTGGTAGGAGCTCAAATATGTTGAGGGTAAAACAACATGAATGCTGATATCTGTATGGGATTTGGAATTTTTAAAAGAATGGAAACTTAATAAGTTTTCAAGAACTCCAGTTGGAAAAAGAGTGAAGTCTAGAGTCATTTGCTTGGTGGAAGATAGACAAGATTCTTAGAAATGATTATATCATGTCAATTATCATGACTTTGTTTTCAGTGTTCTGGGGTGGACGTGAGGGATATCACACATTGCTTAACACTGATGTCAGACGAGAGCTTGATCACATGGGTTCCTTCTTCCAGATGGTTGTTGGTAAATATTATAGTAGATGATACTTTGAAATATTGGAAAAGAAAATTGATAATATTCCATTATCCAAAGCAGCAACCCAAACTAGAAATTTATTCTGTGGAAAGGGATCTTCATGTTGAGAAAGAATATGATACAAGTATTACTAATGCAGAGAGGTCCATATGTTGTGACGAAAGGCTGAATATTTTCCTGTCTGGATGGACATAATTCAGTCAATAAACATTTCATCAAATGGCTGCCACTCTTTTTTTTTCCTTTCTTTTTGCACTAATTTATGATCATTGATAATTACTGTTTTTGACATTTGCTCTGATGTTTTTTAGACTACAAGAAGAAGATAGAATTTGAGGGCCAGTTACTAATTGAACCCAAGCCTAAAGAGCCAACTAAACATCAGTATGATTATGGTAAGGAAATACCTGACATTCAATATGCATTAGTTAGTAACTACTGGAAAAAAGGATGGTTTGTAATAACACTTTTGCTGGGCTGCTCCCTTGGTTTTCCCCTGTTTCAAAGCTCTCTTGTTTGTCTGTTTGTATCCTCATGGGCATCCATGCTTCTGGCATATCTATGTCATCGTCCTTCTAAGAGTTGTGAAAGTGAACTGTGATGTGCATGTCCTCTTTGATCCAGTGTGTGCATCAAAAAGATCACAATCAACAATTTAACAGCCAAGATTTGCGCCTGTCACAGCTGTCAAAATCATCCAATCTCAGTGGGCCATTATGCATTATAGGGTACTGTGCAAATACTTGACCTTTCTTCCAGATAAAGACTAGCAGAATAAAGACAAAATGTTGCAATGTATTTCCAGAATTACCACAACGGCTTCATTACCAGCCATGCATAGTTTTTTTTCTATTTGTAGACTCAAAACAAGAACATTGTAAAGTTTTATTGATCCTTTTTCAGATGCTCAGACAGTGATTGCATTTCTCAAGACTTATGGACTAGAGAATGATTTCAAGGTTAGTTTTTATCAAGACATGCACCATCTCTCAATTAACTTCTCTTCTTCCATTCATATCTGTATTTTATACTCTTGGAGAGAAGATCAAAAGGTAACTCAGTGTTGTTTAGATAAATAATGTTGTTTAGATGAGCACTTGGTGCATTAGTAAAAAACCTTAGAGAATTTCATATTTGTAGGAAAATTATTGTTGAACTTCTCAGTTAGTTATTTCATACCAAATAATAGGATTAAAAATGTTCTTGATTTCCTCTTTTTAATTAGTCACTTTAGTCCAGGACAGCTCAGAAGAATCATTTGATTACAGGTTATCTCCTAAATATACCACAGAGAATTTTTCAGTTTTGCTGATTTGTGTGCGATGTAGAGTTATGGTAATAATCAAAATCTGGGCGTGTCAATAAACGTGGCTGGGTCTTTCCACTTTTTCCTCCTTGTGTTTTTGAGTTATGGCGTAGCTGTTACGTCTGTTCGATATAGAAGAACAATTAGTGACAGCTGTTTCAAGTCTACAGTAACAAATACCCCTATTGAGAGCAGATTTTGATTGGTTGTCTGAACGACTGAAATATCAACGTCTCTTCTGCAGCTGAATATTGAACCTAACCACACCACTTTGGCTGGTCACAGCTATGAACATGATGTTGTAGTGGCCTCCAAGTAAGTTTTAGCTGTCTCTAGATACTTTGAGGAGGAATCGTAAGGGTGTACCTTGATTTTTTTTTTAAAGGTGCTCTTGCTTGTCGCGCTTACTTTTTTCTTTGTTTAGATTTGGATTTCTTGGATCCATTGATTCTAACACTGGGTCACCAGATCTTGGTTGGGACACCGATCAGTTCCCTATGGACATAAAAAACTGTACTCTTGTGATGAAGGTTCGTTCTATTTCTTTTTGATGCGAGGCAGTGAAGACCCATCAATTTTTTTGACAATCTCCGACAGAGACGTGGGCGAATGTACATCGACAATGAAGAAACCCTTTCCAAGTTTTAGAGCGATTTAACCCGTTACACCCTAACACCAAAATGCATATTCTCCAAACTGTTCTCTTCACATTTCCTATGGTACTTACAAGACGAATTGAACTAGCAATTAAGAGTTTCTTGAATTTGCGATCATTTCCTTTTAAGTTTGATTAAGGGGTGATACTGTAAGGCGACATTATATGTCTATCACTCGCAGTGCGGGTTAAAGGTTAGTTAAAAGTGAAAAGTGTTGAAGACGGACGCCACTGTGCCGGGGGGGGGGGAGAAATTAAACATTAGGGATTTTTGTTTTGATTGGTGACTTCGTCTGTTCCAAACAAGTAAACGTGGCAGCTTAATTGACCTCGGGTTTTCTTTCCAACCGTCGTGATGAACATTCTTTCATTTCACATGTTGAAAAGAGCGGAAGATTTAAATCGCGGGTGGGTCTTTTCCATGTTAAGTTTAACCAGACGTTGATCGAACCCACACAAAATCGTTTTCTCACAATGATTTGACCACAAAATTTAAATAGTAAGTTGATGTCTTGAGGTTAAGTTCTACCATTAAAGGCCCTAACACGACTTGCAAATATGCACCACTTCATAATTTAAGACCTCTCTTTTTTGAGACTAAAAGTGTTTTGCTCTCATTTCCCTCAATACGTACGTTAAGTTCTGATTACCAATCTTTTGTAGGCTATAATTGAACAAGGTGGTCTGGCACTTGGCGGACTGAACTTTGATTGTAAAATACGCCGAGAATCCACTGACCTTGAAGATATGTTCATAGCTCATATCGGTATGTGTGCGGTTTGTGGGAAGTGAAAGTCGAGAATGGAAGTGATTGAACGTCATAAAACTGACACCTGAGTTTTCACTAAAGGGTGTCAGGACAAATAAAAATATCTCTGCGAGCCAAATTAGCAACAAGCAACAGAATGGGAGGGGAGGGTTATGGACTAGACCGCGATTGGTTTTTTTGTTGCTTCTGCATTATTGATTCAGATGATGGTGTGAGTTTCCCCAAAACAAACTCAGAGTGCAGAAACGCGAAACAAAATTGATCCCGAATTACTTGCAAACCTCAATTGATTGTTACTCGAATCCAAAATAGTGATTATGACACGTCCCTAACTTCTTTATAGCATAATTAAAACAATTTCGATGATTCACGATGGATGTCTTCGGACTTTGATTTCTGCCATGTAACTCGGAAGCCAGTAGATTTCTATTCGTTAAATGTGTGGCCAGTGAGGTGCTTTGTTAAGTTAAAGGCGGGTTGTTGTGTTATAGATCATGCCTCGATTCAGAAGAGATTGCAATAAGACAATATTGATATATTTTTTGTTGTTCAAATTTAACTTTTTATGATCTTCTTCACCCAAGAGTATCTTTCTCTTTCTTTTATGCATGATATTGAAATCTATAACTCTCACGTTCAGGGTTTTCAAATTCTATTTCTTCATTTTTCGGTATGCACAGAATACTCCCCACGATCCCATACCCATCTCCCCTATCCAATTGTTTACAGTCTTTCGCTCGCCATCTCTTCCACAAATCAAATTCTTACTTTATATTAGGTGCCATGGATTCATTTGCTCGTGGTCTTAAGAATGCTGCCAAACTCATAGAAGACGGAACATTGGATGCATTAGTTAGGGTCAGTTGACGGAGTATTCGTTAGTTAATGCCTTGATGATCTTTTTTTTTTTTTTTTTTGTTTCATGTTTTTGATGTCTTATTCCTTTCTGTTTCTTTTTTCCAAAGCTGGTTAAAAAAGGAGGAGGAAGTTCTGCTCAGTAATACATTCTCTCTAATTTGGTTTCCTTTGTTCGTTCAATTATTTTTTTGTTTGTATTTTATTCAATGAAGAACGGTGTTCCCTTTTACCTCTCCTAGCGTCAAAAAGCAACCAGCTGAGAAAACCTGTCCCCTCCCTAGAGGTTCGCCGTTCCTTCCCGGTTGAATTTTAGCATTTTTATACTTGTTGATCTTAGCTTATGGTTTTGTATCCAAATTTGAAACGTTAAACTTTGCCTTGGCCTCGTCATCCGTGGCCTTTCTTGTTTTTTTGTTTGTTTGTTTGTTTGTTTTAGGAGCGTTATAGTAGCTTTGATAAAGGAATTGGAGCAAAGATTGAGAAGGGATCAGCTTCCTTGGAAGAGCTTGAGGTACACACAAAGTAAAAATTTCTAAGTTCAAGACCTTAACCTCCTACAGTAGAAATTTCAAGCAATTTTAACCCATGCAAACCGTTTACCTGAGGTGTCATATGGCAAATTTGTTTATATCCTTTCATTATCTTAATAACTTGTTCCTTGGTTTCTCTCTTCATTTCTAGGATTACATTTTGGAGCACGGGGAACCAAAAATGATATCAGGAAAACAGGAGAAATATGAAGCGATTGTCAATTTTTTTGTATAGATGGATAAGCTAGGAAAGCTCCACATCTTGAATACTCGAGAAGCAGTGAGAATTGAGTCCGTGAATCGGTTTGATAAACACGTAAAAGCATCAATAATTATTTAAGGAGACGCAACATGAATTGTTGAATCTGTGCGTGGTGAATAGTAACTGGGTCGAATCATGTTTTAAAGGCAATCTATTTTTTTGCTTCAAATAAATTAAGTCAGTATTTCTCAAGTGAACAATTTTGTTGTGTTCATACCTTTATCTGCCAGTTCAGATGAACACAACGGTCAAATGTCAGGCGTGCGCAAGTGGTTCAATCGGTGATGCGTCTATTTCCCGCGCAGAATTTCAAACGAAAGCAGAAGAAACGACCACTGTTGCGCAGAATATGCGCAAAAAATTGAATTAATCAGAGAAATTTGTAAATAGAAATAAAAATTAGGAAAGGAAAAAACTCTATTAAACAAGGGGTATCTTGAGGATTTCACATTTTGTTTTGAGTTTTACAACAAAGTGGTGCGGTTTTAAAATACCGTGACTTAAAGGACCTATGAGGTTGGTTGAACTCTTTGGCGAAAATTCGTTATGACTGCTTGAAAGCACTTGCCTTCCGCTCGTGCGCCTGCGTTTGACCGCTGTGTTGCTCCGATTTATGGCTATGTTACACCACATGAATTTGTCGACCGCTGACTAATACTTTTTGCACAAATTCAGCGAAATGGGAAACAAAATGGCGCCCGGATTAAAAAGAGTGCTGTCTTTTCCAAATTATATCAACGAAGCATCGCATATTTGTTTGAATGGATCACAGAAAAAGTATTCACAAGGAAGACAGACGTACGATTACATTTTGAGAGGTGATACGTGTTTATTTACTTCCTAAATAAGCTCATCAGTACTCTAAAATTGCACAGCTTAATTGATAGCATGAAAATCAACCATTTGGAGTTCGCTTTCATGTACACATATAATTAGAGGTATCGTTTTTATTTATTATGATTATCATTATTATTATCACTATAATTTGTGATTTTTTATGGAAAAATTTCACAAAAATCACCAAATCTTGCCGCTCTACAATATTTCAGCTGTTATCGACCAAGAAATAACAAAACACTGAATTGTTCGAATTTATATCGAAAGCATGCAACTTTGCCGCATTACACATGACAGCTAAGGAAGCAAAGGAATGATACATTTTTGTCTACCAAGCCCTCCGTCCTTTATGAAGAACCTCCAGTCTAACGAGAAACTACCACCTCTAGGGAGGAGAATGAACTGAAAAAGGTGGAAAACTGTAGTTCGCTTACTCATCAGGTTGGAGTAGTATTGCTCACAGCTAAACGATCTCTATTTCAAAGCCATGTGTCGTGATCAATTTCAAGTTACACAAAGTTTACCGCACAACTCAGCGCTTATCACAGTTGTAGTTTTGCGTCAATTCTGTAATGTAATGATCACTTTACCGTCACCTTTGTTGACACCCGCCATGTTCTGTTGATTTTTGCCGCTATTATACGAACCCCCTCCCCCTGCCACCCTAATGTTGGGGCTACTTAAAACTCCCCCACCGGAGTACCCGCCCCCTCCACCACCAGCCTTTAAAGCATAACCTCCCCCACCGAATCCCCCTTGGGAAACCGGGCATTTCCCTCCAGTTCCACCGTGGATGAAACGTACTGAAAAGCCCCGTTTTCCTCCTCCGTTCCCTAACAGTCCTGCTCCTCCTCCCCCAGGGATCTGGAGATCAACCATTCCTGTGTCAGCATTACAGAGATTTCCACCATACCCTCCTGCCCCTCCACACCTGCCACCATTCTCTGTTGACTGACCCGGATCACCGTTTTTAAATTGTTCCCTCGGTATTCCCCCACCCCCTCCTCCACCAGCAATTATCAGTGGAGTGTCGTCAGGGAAAGTCACAAAACTGCCCCCGCCCCCACCCCCTGGCCTTTCACGAAGGTAAGGGTCCGTAGTACGATTACCCTCCTGCCCTACTAGTATTTTAAGCTGAGTTCCTTTCTGAAGCTGAAAGGTTCCTGTCATTCTGGCTCCTAAACCACCGGTCCTCCATGAACTTTTATCCTCGACATATGTTCCATTAGCGCCAGAAGCACCAAATACTTCGATGACGTAGCTTCCGGTCTCGGGAACACTCCAAATTTGGATGCCATCGCTTACAGTGACATGGCCTTCTAACGGTGTTCCTACATACCCCAATGTGTTAGTCGGCCCAGTTTCTCCTCTGGCTCCCAGTGTTGAGAAAACAAAGGTTTTGCCTGAGAAATGTGTGAATTAAAGGCTAGCTAATGTTTATGGAACTCTAATGCGCAAAAATCATCTCGGGCAGGTACATTTCTTAAAATAGTCAGAACTTTACTGATCTCTAAAACAATATGTTCTCTCTCAGTGGGAATAATTTGTTTGCCAAGATGTCTTTGAATCAAATTTAATCTTTCAAGGCTTCCTAATTGAGCTGCCTAGTAATCTTAGCAGTGGCATGTTACCTGAGTTTGCTGGCTCCCCAAAAGATTCATTCATCTTTTGACCCTAAAAAGAGAGAAATTCGAGCTTAAAATCATTCTATTTTGCTAACTATGCCTTGTTTTAAGGCATAAAAAAGCTGGAGAAGCTGTCTGTGACAGCTAACTTGGTGGACTTGTTTATTTTCGGTCGAAGGCAAAATTCCGAGGAAGAGTTTGCTTTAACTGCAGGTTTTACTGACCGTAAGATCAAGCATCTGGCCAAAGACATATCCAGGCATTGGTACAAGGGACGGCGCGTTAGCCTTAGCACTGTCTGTTCCGTCATCGTTCAATTCACAAATCATGTTTCCTTTTATTTCCCTATAATTTACTGAGCGGCATAGTGGACGGCTTCTCAAGCAGAGATGAGCGCAGGATAAAGCACTGGATGCCTTCTGACGATCTATGACATGACCGGTTAGGTAATAACCTTCCTCAGTTTGAATGAAAGTTGAGTGGCCCTTTTTAGCTGATGGTGAACTCAGTACTGCAGTCGTGAAGGTCAATAGTACAACGAGGACGCTCATTTTTGCACCTGTTAAAAGCTGAAGTAAGAGAAGTCGTCTATACAAATTGAACCCAGATTGAAAATCGGGTCCCCCCCTTGGCATCATTTGGTTCTCTTTGACGAAGTCTTCCTGCCAACTTCGCAAGAATGAAGTCTCGTGAAACGTGCCTCCCTTTTCGGAAAAATTTATGAACGAAAAACTGAGTAGAAAGAGTAAGGTAATGGTTATTAATAACTGCATACAACTGGAAAAGTGTTGTCGCTATGTATGTATCAATCAACTTATCTATTTGGCTTTTTTTAAAACCCCTGGCGCCTGTTGCTTTTAGGGCGCACTGTTCAAATTTTTTCTAGGCTGTGCGATTTTTTTAACAAACCAATAAATTTTGCTAAATACAAACTAGAAAAATGGATTAAATTTTCCTTATTAGGGAACCTTTTCTTCTGTTTTCTGCAAAATCTGAAAAGTCGCTGAAAAGTTTTAAATTGGATGCCCTCCGCTGTTTTCGTTTAATTGCAAAGATATACTTAAATGTTTGGACGAGTTTTTTTTACAAGGAACTGATTAATATAGATCAAACTACTATTTCGTCAGATGTGAAACAAGTTGTCTTTTGATTTAGCGTTGAAATCCCTCATGTAATCGAGAAAAAAACGTCGATCTTTAGCTTGCAACTTAAGAGAGTACCTGAACACCATTGCTTCTACTAAAAGAATAGCCAGAGATAAGACTGAAAAGTTTCTTTACAAACGCTTACCTTGCCTTCAGTTTTGTGGCCCAAATTACCTTCCACCCTTCGAGGTAGCGATAGCAAACCAACCGATGCTTGTATTTTGCACCTTTCACTTGAAACAAGGGAACAGCCCCTCTTAACGTTTTTATATAACGTGTTTTTATTTTTTTTAATTTGGCATACGTGATGACAGGTACATAACTTACACTTTTTAAAATAAACATTATTGAATTACATTACTCTGCACGTTCTACCTTAAAAGTCACAGGAAGGGTAACCCACCCGCTTGACCACATTGTCACTATTTCGCATCTAAATATTTTTCTCTTGTCTCGTAAATGGTCAGTCCAGGCGATACAATATTTTGCTTATTGCTCAGTTTAGTTAAGTTTGAGGTTGTTCTTGATTCTATTGTATTGGCTAATTGAATAACTGGCTATCTGTCATATTTATGCGGTAATAATCTTCTCTAATCAGTACTGATGAATGATAGTTTTTATTCATGCTGCTCTAAGGCTCTTTTTTTTTCTTTTTGAAAAGTAGCTGAGTGTTTAACGTCAGGCCAAAATAGTAAAATGTGATTTCTTGAACGTGTTCTAGTCTTCCTTACAGAAAACCTTTGAGCGAAATCTCTCATCTCGTCAAACTACAAAACTCGTCACACTTTTAGATGGTAATCGGTAACAAAGATAAATAGCAGAAGGAAAAGTGTACTCATGGACGAAGGGGGGAGGGGGCTGGGCTTCTAGCCTCTTTATAAGGCACTAGTTCTACGGAAAAAAAAACATTTTTAAGCTAATTAGAAAAAATACGACTGGTTTGTTTACTTTAAAGTGGTTTGATGTTCGGATGGAAAAAGCTTTTATTTGCATAAAAGCAGCGAACAGTACCTGTTATTAGCAGTTTAATCTTCATATAAGCGGGACAGCTGTCATAATTTGCAAATATCCCAAAGCTGCATGGCTAAAATTTAATTAGGGTTTTGACAGGATCGTTGATCCATCTACTGACAGGTATTTTTTAATTACTTAGTGAAATTT